ATGTTATATATATACGTTATGCACATATGTGCATAACCATATATACAATTTCCAAAAAGTGGGTGTTTATTAGTCTTGCTACGTTACTGCTTTCTGCTACGGAAGGCCAGGGGGTCGATTGTGTAACTTTTTCTAAAGTGAAAACGTGAAAAGTGAAAAATTTCCACCAATCACGCATTGATTTTAAAATGAAATCGATGTGTGATTGGAAGAAATTTTTCACTTTTCACATTTTCACTTTAGAAAAAATTACACAATCGACCTTCAGAAAGCATTTTCAGGCGGCATCTCGCGTATACCGGCACGGTAGATGAACAAGGAGAACACGTGATTATCGGTCCTTGTCTCTCTTACGTGCGTCCGCGTGAGCGATGCAGTTGGTGTATGTACGTGTACAGACATACACCACTACATAAAACCCGAGAATTGGTTTCTCGGCGTTGGCAACACTGAAACCGGAGTTTCGCGTTGTCACCGCACGAGGTCTCCAATATCAATTCGGAGTTTGCCTGGGTGTACTGCCGACCCTTAATTTCAAATGAGAAGATAACGAAAAGTAGAGGTTAGCTGGATTCCTCGAGTCTGATTCCTTTTTTAAGCAAAATGTCAAAAGCTGTCAACCAAACGAATCAAGTCGAAGAAGGGCTGAACGAGGCTGAGGAGGAAAATTGCAAAAACTGTGGACAAGCATGCGATCCTTATAATAAACCGTCCTTACGTTGCAGCGGCGGATGCGATAAGAGGATACACATAGAATGTTTGAAGAGAGGCGGCGTCCGGTGTCTTTCGTAGGAGACGTTTTCTTCGAGCTCAATTGCACTTCTTGCAATCCCTCAGGCGAGGAAACGGTCGTGCGCGACAAAATGCCATGGCTCAGTGCCATCATTCTGACCCTTTACAATCTCCGTGAAAAGTCAAGCGGCATCAGTAAAAGAGGATACTTTCACTGGAAATCCGATGTCAGTACTTTCGTGGACAGAAACTGGGATTATTTGTTCAAGAAGACTGTGTAGGTATTCCACATTGTCGTATCAGTTTATTTTGCACATGAAAGGACTTCGCACAATCCTTATAGAATTGGATTCGGTGGAATTGTCTGGTTTCTTCATATATTTGTGATCTATTGCACAAAAGTTGTAATGGTTTCAAAGCTAAATAATAGTTACTGAGTTAATATCGGTTAAACAACTCGCAGAGCCCAAAATCTTGTACAATCCTTATGAAAATTAGATTTTGATGGAATTGTCTGGTTTTTTCATATATTATAGTTTGTGATCTATTGAACAAAGATATGATAGCTTTAAAACTAAATAATAGACAGTTACTGAGTTACAATTAGTTAACGCAGAACTCAAAAGGACTGCACAATCCTTATAGAAATTGAATTTTGATGGAATTGGCTGATTTTTTCATATATTGTAATTTGTGATCTGTTGAACAAAAGATGTAATAGCTTCAAAGCTAAATAATAGACAGTTATTGATTTACAATCAGTCAAATAATTCGCGGAACCTAAGAGGACCCTAAACAATTCTTATGAAAGTCGAGTTTCGATGGAATTGATTGGTTTTTTCATATATTGTAGCTTATGAAAAATTTGGATTCTGCGAGTTGTTTGAGTGTCCGTAACTCAATAACTCTTCATTTATTTAGTTTTGAAGCTATTACATCTTTTGTTCAACAGATCATAAGCTGTAAGTATGAAAAAATCAATCTGTTCAACTAAAATTCGATTTCCATAAGGATTGTGCAGGGTCCTGTAATATTTTAACAAATAATTTTAATTTAATATTTAAAAATAATAAATTTAATATTTTAAAAATAGATTTAATATTTTAATGTAATTTTATTTATTTTAATCATATTTTAATTCTTTAATTTATTATTTTCATAGCAAAAGAAGCAAAAATTGGATAATGATTTGATTATATTAATATAAATTCAATATTTTAATATTTTAATTTAATATTTTACTTTAGGAAAAGAAAGAAGAATTGGATTGGTACTATATCTGGTACACTGTCCCATTACAGTGGAATTGTTTTCAAGTCTGGGACCAATGAATTAGGGGAGTCTGGATGGTGGAAATTATTGGACAATGATCCACCTGAAATTTTAATCGCTAAAAGTAATATAATACTGAAATTGTATAGTACATATGTAATTTGTGGAGAGCATCAGTAACAATATAATCTTTATTTTCACAGATAACAAAATGTTAAGTGATAGAAAGAAGCAACCGGGTTCAAAACTACCTTCCAAATTATTGGACAGTCCTGCGCCGTCAGATTCCAGCATCTCTGTTGGGGAGGATAGCAATTGCAGTGGGGAATTGTTCAAGAACAAAGGTTCATCGATATATTCCCATGCATATGTTCAACCTACAGAGACATTGTCTGATTTTCTACTCGAAGAGGACGAACCAAATGGTATACATAATAAACAAGTGAAATGCACAAATGCCGCGGATGTTATTTTTTGTTTTTTTAAGAGAATTATTTTTAAACAATAATTAATAATAGGCTATGAAGAGCTAGGAAGGAAGAACGCAAATGATCATGAATAAAAATATTAAGTACATAGATCATAGATTCGTAAAAATTAATTTATAAAGAATGTCGTACGTTTTAGTCCTTTTTTTTGGACTATCTTCAGTGTATGTAACAAAAAATTAGTACAGAATTATATTTTGTAGACATGGATAACGAGGATGACATAATGTTAAACGATGAGAGCGAGGTTCCGTCTATCTCCGATTTAATAAACGATTGCCAATACGGGAACAATTTTCACTTGGCACAGCTGATGGATAACTGTGATTGGTTGGACAATACAAGTTTCTCGTCGCCAAAATATACCGGTGATGAAGTTAAAACGATAGAAGAAGAAGGATACGATGAAGACAGCAGTGATAGTCCGGTCTCCATACGAGAGCAGCCTCCAGTTTCCTTGTTTAAAGAAGCGAAACGCCGTCAACGACCTTGGTCTAAGTCGTTCGTCGCTCCTAGTAATTATTTTTTCATCAAACTGCATATACAGGGTGTCCTATAGAAAATTGCTGAAACTAATCCACTGTCATTTTTTAATGCATGCAGTTATTGAGAAAACAAAAATTGTGTTGAAAAGAAGAAAGTCTACAGTTTTTAATGGATATAAATAAAATGTTTGTATACTAGTTTATTTTATCGATAAAAAATAAAAAGTAATGAAAAAAGTGCTAATAATCACATAAAATCACAAACTGATGATAAATATTTTCAACGGTGTCAGATTTAATAGCAGTTATTAAAAGGATCGCCAATAATATATTAAATAACATATTAAAAATGACATGCATTATTATATGATAACATTAAAAATGACAGTTTATTAGTTTCAGCAATTTTCTATGGAATCCCCTGTATGTGGTGCAAAATCCTATATTTATAATTAAATAAAGGGGAAAAGGACAGCAAGACCTGCCTTTTTTCTTTCTATTTCTTCATCATTACAAAAGCTTTATGTAATTAATTTAGTATTTTAATCTACAGTTATATATTGTGCATATTTCAGATGATAAAATACCGCGCATAACTTATCAGGAAGAGGCATATTTACTGCAAAAAATTAATAAGACCGATCTCTCGAGAGCTCCGGCCGCTGTTAGAAGATTGTATAGAAAATTGGCGGTGCGAAAAATAAAAAGGGAATACCGGCTCCCTTTGTTGGACATCGATCGTTTTGGATCCAAGTCTACATCTGTGATATTGAAAGATAATGGACGAGTGTTGGATCGCTTTTTCAACGATAATCTGGGATGTGTCTTCGAACAAAGATTGCAAGGTTACAATCAGCCTACATCTGTACACAGTCCGTACACAAATAGACTTTTGAAGCCATTTATAAGGCGAGATACCTCTTGTCGACCATTGTGGTTAAGGATCATGGAAGAACTGCTCATGAAAACAAATAAAAACAATCCAGAATGGAAACCACAGCCAAGAGCTTCCATCGATTATTCTTACATCAGACCGCAACACATTCCTGCGATCAACAGTCTTTGTAATCAATTCTTTTGGCCCGATATAGATCGTAAGTAGATATTTTACTTGTTTACATTGTCGTATACAAGATGCAAAAAAGTTGGGACTCCGATATATATCGAAAAATATAAATTTTATAAGAAACTGTTATAAGGAAGTTTATAAGAAAATTGTTTTCATTTAAAAATAGCTAAGAATTTTCAGTGTGCACTTTGAAAAATTGTTAACTTCAAACCATAATAATTCAAAAAGTACTTAAGAAAAAAATATTGTATTAGTATTTTAGAAAGCTCTCGAGATAAGCTACAAAAATATATAATGAAAAATAGTAGGTTTCATTTAAGAAATTGACGGTCAAATGATTATACTAGGTCAAATTAAATGACACCATCTTATGTCCCCCTCAAAGTCAAACAATTTAAAAACTTTTTTGTATCTCTTATAGTTTTCGAAATATTTGCTTGAGGCGATTAAAATAAATCACCCATTTTTAATCCTAATTGATTAATCCTGAGACTGTATACATCTAAAATATTATACTTTGTTTTAGTGACAGAGTGTTTGCAATACCCAGATTTTACGTGCGTCGTCTTGTACAAGAAGTTGGTCATAGGATTTGCGATATTAGTACCTTACGTAAGCTACAACGAGTCCTATATCTCGTTCATCCTGACACGTCCGGAGTGGCAGAAATCTGGCATCGGCACATTTATGTTGTACCATCTGATACAAACCTGTATGGGACAGGATGTCACTCTACATGTGTCGGTCACCAATCCTGCCTTAATACTGTACCAGAAGTTTGGCTTCAAAGTGGAAGAGTTCATTCAAGATTTTATGACAAATATATGCCGCTGAATTCACGAGAATGTAGACACGCTCTGTTCTTACGTTTAAACAGATAATTAATGATTTAAATCTTATTAACTAAAAGAGACTTTAGTGAGGCTCTTTAAGATGCAAAATTAAATGAAAAATTAATTTTCGTCGAAACTGAGTTGTATGCAAGAAGCAAATTTTCATCGGTACGAAAAACCAAGGTAATTTAATGAATCTCAATTCGAGATTTTATTTTTAATAAATCTCTGACTAAAATCTTGTTAATTCACCAAAATTCCTTTTATTTTTATAAAATACACCTTATTCTTTTCATTTAATTTGTTTTCGATATTCTCCCTCTTTTTGTGTTCTCCAATATTAACGAAAATAAATCCCTATGTACAATAAAGAAAAATATTAAAAATAGGAATTAATATTAAATATTTGAAATAAGAATTTTAGGAACGAAAATGACGTAATAATTAAATATTAAATATAACTCATTCAATCATGGCGGCCGATCATCACAAAATACACTTTACATATACAGTTTAAATACAAATACAGTTTACAAAGAAAAAAATCTTTAGAATATTGTTTTCAAAAATTATTTTAAAAATTTAATTTTTAAACGTCTAAAAAATATTTTCTATTTTTTTGTAGAGATTATTGTAATATAAAATTAAAAAAATAAATATCTCTTAATTATTTTAAAATAAATATCTCTTAGTGTTATTAATTAACGTTATTCTGGAGTTAAAAAGGGTTTTTAAAACTGTTTTTATTTAGAAATTAAAAAATTTTTCTAAAAAATTATATGTTTTTGATATCATTCTCAAGCAATAAAAAAAGAACTGCATCATTTTTAAACTCACAAAGTTAAAAATTCATCTAGATTATCTTTTTGTAAATTTATAGGACGAATCTATCAGTGTTTATTTCTTCAAAATTTGTTTCTTTTTCTGTTTAATATAAGTAAAAATCCTATTAATTATATAAAATGTAAGTGATAATAAAAATGTTGCTCTAGAATCTAGAATTAGAAATTTTCTTGTACTGCATTTAATAATATTTAAGTTTATATCCTAGGTAGCAAATGTACATAATTTTAACGTTGAATGATATCATTAAACATCAAAATGATGTCATTTTAACGTTTAATGACGTCAGTTTGCTACTTGGGATAATTTAAACTTCTAAGCTAAAATACTAATATTTATATTTTTATATAAATATAATATAAATATAATAATTTTATGAATATAAATTACAAATATTTTTATAATATTAATATATATAATATAATCTAAATATAATATTTTTTTTAAATATATATAAATAATATATTTTATAAAAACGTAGATATTTGAGAATCGCCAGACAGAATTTAAAAAAGTAAAACTCTTCTCTCGACCGTACTGGCAAATATTATTTATTAAATCACAACGTTTCGACCCTTCTTTGAGTCCTTATCAAGTGATCTAGATATACATAGAGAAGAAATACAGTACAGAGATTAATATTTACAATAAAAAAATTACTTTACTTAACAATATTACAAAATAATAAAAAGAAACGAAACATACTTGTGAAAATAAAAATAAAATTATAATTTTAAGATGTCAAGAACGAATTATAGTGTCGGTTTGACAACACGTCAAGACTCTTAGACGAGTTATGAGAGACTAAACGACCTTTATTATTTTGTCGTAGATATTATTTAAATTGTCGGTATCCTTTTGTAAGTTAATAGCGTTATTATTTTTCTTAATAAAAAACATTTCAGCGATTTCTCTTTTTCCTACGTGTTTTTCACTGTGCAAAATAACAGGCGAAGTCTAGTCAAAATCGTGATCGAACTCAATTTTATGTTTGCTAATAACTGATAAATTACTCGAATGCATTTTTTTGATGTCGCTGAAATGTTCCTTTACACGTGTACATAGATGTCTCTTTGTTTGTCCGATGTATGACACGTTGCAATCATCACAATTAATTTCGTAAACTACTTCAGTCTTTTTATCTGTAGGGAGTCTATCCTTGCCGAGTGTAATTAAATGATTCGGTTTTTTAGGAACATTATGAACAACATTAAATCCGATATTTTTAAAAATTCGATCGATATCGCCTAAGCTATTAACATAAGGTAGTGAAATGAAAGGAGATTTATCAACAATATTTCGCTCATTACTCGATTCATTCATGTTTCTGTGTTTTAAAAAATTAATCCTTTTATTAACCCAACGATCAATTACATGTTTAGGAAAGCAGTTATTAATATATTTTATATAAATATAAATATTTCGATTGCACGACATAATTCTTATATTTTCATATTTTATTCTTTTTCATTAAGTGTTACGTTCAATTTTTATTTCTATAAAAAAAATTCCTATTCCTAATATCTAATATTTTTTTTTGTTTGCAGGACCTAAAGACCTGAAGGAGGGAAGATGACAGAGATTTGACGTTGGCGCCAAAACATGTCGGCTGTTTGACGTCATCGGCTACGTCGCGCTGCGGAACTGGCGTCGATTCATTCTCGAAAGTTCCGGAAGCTGCTAGATGGAAAGTTTATATATATATGGACTGCGGGGTTACGCGACAGTTCAGTACGTGACCCAGTAGTATCGAGTGTCCTTTGGCGAGAGAGATCGGGAATCGGTGAATGTTCTTTGTCAAGTTTCGCGAGGACACAAGAAAGAGCCTGGCTTTTGTACTTTTAAGTGTCTATACACGTGAAACGTGCTTTAAAAATTCTACTATCACGAAATAATTTATATAAAGTAAGTATAAGAAGGAGGAAGGAAGGAGTCCTAATACCGCGTAACCTTGCTTAGGTTTCGCAAAAAAATTTGAATTAAATATAACAAATATTTTATAAATAATTTATGTGCTGAAATATCCAATCCAGAAAAAAATATAAGGAGACGACACGTTCAGAGAGCTCTCCTGGTTCGGGTGGGGTATTTATTTTTGCGTTGCAGCTCGAATCGTGAATCGCTTGAAACATTCGTCGTGTATTCGCGGTCATCATTGCCAGAAATAGATATCGGTGATATATATACGTGGGTGTATATATTGGAGGCTCCCTGTGCTTCTCCACCTTTCGACGAAATTCTACGAGAAGAGAAAAAAAATGGCAGAAAATTTAACCATAAATACGTCGCGTCGCGACGATTCTAGTACATTCCTATTATAAGCACACACATACACACACAGACGAGTGCTTGTGTGTCCATGAGACATACACTCGAAAGCATATATAACGTTTCTTTTTATTTTTCCTTATTTTTTTTAATTTTCCTTACCGATACCCTTTTTTGACATATCGAGGATTTTGTCGCGTAGAAATATAATAATAATAATAATAACAGTAATAATAATAAATATAATAATAATAATAATGATGATAATAATAACATAATAATATAATAATAATAATGATAATAATAATAATAATAATAATAATGGTTGAATGGGATCTGTCAACCTCAGACTTAATATCTTAAATATAAGATCGGACTATGAATGACAAACATTTGTATTTAAAGACTGTATGACACACACATACATATACAAAGTGTTCCAAAATTACCAGGCACCAATAATTTTCAAGTTGTGATTGAAAATAAAGGGTTCTTCATAAACAAAGCCTTGTGGAAATAAAATACTAACAAAACTGTATTCTTTAGTTAATTTTAAGTAGAGCTTACTTTAATATAATTATATAATTTAAGAATTAATTACAAAGATACATGATGGCAAAAATTGGGATATGCAAGAAAATGACTTTCCTCGTGTTTTTGCTGAGGAAAAATTATCTCGAAATAATTTTAGGAATTTCCTATTAATAGGATGTCTGGTAATTTTGGAACACCCTGTATACCTGTATCGGATCAGACCAAAAGGATTCTGCACACTCCTTATGGAGACTGAATTTCAGTGAAATTGACTGATTTCTTTATGTATTGTAGCTTGTGAGCTGCTGAACGAAAGATGTGATAGCTTCAGAGCTAAATAATGGAAATTGTTGAGTTACAATCAATCAAACAACTCATCCAAATTTTTCATGTTTAACTAGATGTAAATCAGTAACTATCTATTATTTAGCTTTGAGTCTGTTATATTTTTGTTCAGCAGATACAACATATGAGAAAGCAAGTTGATTTTATATTAAGATTCAATATTATATGGAATTAATTGTAGATAGGGAATTTTTGAATTTATATGAAATCCTAGATGTGTGTGTGTGTGTGTGTGTGTGTGTGTGTGTGTGAAATTGAAATATCGACATACAACATAATATCGATATACAACATATGAAAAAAATCAGCTAATTCCACCAAAATCCAATTTCCATAAGGATTGTGCAGTCCTTTTATTGGTCTCTTCTCCTTTGTTTTGTTCAATATTTCTTCTTTTATTAATAGTTTTTTAAAAGACAAGTAATATCCTAAAATATATTGATGTTTTAACATTAAAGCGATTAATGACTACAATTATTCTAATACTGATCTTTCAAAATATAAAAAGAAAATATTTCAGTAAAATTAAAAAAAAAAATTATATATATATATATATAATAAAAATTAAGAAGAAATATGAATATTTGTGATGAGAATTGTATATAAAATTATATATAATTATATGAAATTAAATAAAATATTATATAAAAAATTATATATAATCGTATAATAAAAAATACGTTTTGATATTGTTTCAGAAATCATAGAAGCGAAGTAGAAGGAAAATGGGGAAGGATTACTACAAAATACTTGGCATAGCCAAAGGAGCGAGCGACGAGGAGATCAAGAAGGCTTACAGGAAGCTGGCCTTACGATATCATCCGGATAAGAACAGGAGCCCCGGTGCCGAGGAGAAGTTCAAGGAGATCGCCGAGGCGTACGAGGTGCTGTCGGACGCGAAAAAGAGGGAGGTGTACGACAAATTCGGCGAGGAGGGTCTGAAGGGTGGTGCCTCTACTGGCGGAGGCGGGGGAGGTGCCACATACACCTTCCACGGGGATCCCAGGGCGACCTTCGCTCAATTCTTTGGCTCGGCCAGTCCATTTCACAATCTGTTCGAGTTCGCCGGGAATCGCGGCGGGGGCTTCAGCTTCCATGAGGACGACATGGACATCGACATGGACCCCTTCGGCCTCGGGATGGGACCACCGCGACAGGGTGGCGCCTTCAGATCGCACTCGTTCAACTTCGCGAGCCCGAACACCGGCAAGGCTGCCGGCAAGGATCGCGCCCAGGATCCAGCGATCGAGCACGACCTGTACATCAGTCTGGAAGAGATTCTGCGCGGCTGCACGAAGAAGATGAAGATATGCAGACGGGCGATACAGCCAGACGGTAGCACCAAGAAGGAGGACAAACTGCTGACGATCAACGTGAAGCCAGGCTGGAAAGCCGGCACCAAGATCACGTTTCAGAAGGAGGGCGACCAGTCGCCGAGGCGGGAACCGGCGGACATCGTTTTCATCATCAGGGATAAACCTCATCCGTTGTTCAGGAGAGAAGGCAGTGACATTAGGTACACGTGTAAATTGAGCCTGAAGCAGGCTCTATGCGGCACCATCGTCGAAGTTCCTACGTTGACTGGCGAGAAGATACCCTTGAATCTGACGAGAGAGATCATCAAGCCGAACACAGTCAAGAGGTTCCAGGGCCACGGTCTACCTTTCCCCAAGGAGCCGTCGCGAAAGGGTGACTTGCTCGTGTCGTTCGATATTAAGTTCCCGGAAAATCTGACGCAAAGTGCTAAAGATATATTGTATGACACGCTACCCAATTGAGCTCGAACATAAAATTACGATTAAAAAGATAAAAAAACCAGTATGATGTAAGAAAATATCAGTAATTGGACATCTTTAATCGTCCCGATCGACGAGATTATGATATACATATACATATATATATACACATACATATATATATACACATACATACATATATATACACACACACACACACACGTGTGTGTGTGTGTGTGTGTGTGTGTGTGTGTGTGTGTGTGCGTGTGCGTGCGTGTGTGTGTGTGTGTGTGTGTGTGTGTGTGTGTGTGTGTGTGTGTGTGTGTGTGTGTGTGTGTGTGTGTACGTCTCGTGTGCGTTCTAGTACATAGAGACCTGGGGTATATCCAGCGACGATGACGATAACAAATACGACAAAACGATCGAGAAAGAAAGAACAATTAAATGTATATCTTGCTCGTAGAGGCCAAATTAAAAATAAATGTTTTATTTTCTCTTCGACGTTGCGTCAATGTTGGACAAGTTCGGATTGAGATTCGACGAATTGGCGTTTTTCTGTCTACAGCAGCCTCTACGCGCCCAACGATAGCCCAATTGATTGACTAAAGACGATTATATATATATATATTAAAAATATATATATATATATATTAAATTATAGAATTATAGAGAGAACTTATTATTATTAATATTATTATTATTATTATATTATTATTATTATTATTATTATTATTATTATTATTATATTATTATTATTATCATTATTATTATTATTATTATTATTATCATTATTATTATTATTATTATTATTATTATTATTATTATTATTATTATTATTATTATTATTATTATTATTGTCGCTGATATATTTGTGTGATCGCGTCTGGATCTTTGTTTCCTCTATTATATACGTATGTGTGCATGGGTGTATGTGTGATAGAGAGATGCATGTGTGAAGGTATGTACGAAGGTTGTAAGGCAATGTAAAAGAGCACTGCAATGTCAGAAACTTGTGCGTTTCATTTAATCAAGGTTCGTGTACTCGCGGCAAATAATAGAGGCATTTACAGACTCGTACACAGATACAATGATAATGGATGATGCGAGTCTATATGTACACCTATACATATGCAGAGTGATGCGGAAGCATATATAAGTCGAGTCAATCGAAAATCGAGGAGTAAAATAATGAAAGACAAAAGTTTTTGAATATTGCGCGATGGGTGGTCTTGTAAATATGCATTGTTTCATTTTCTTTTGTTCGTACACACACTTTGTCTAATAGAGGAAAAATCATACTTGTTTATATTAAGTATTAAGGCAAATTATAATTAAGGCCCGATCGTCCCGTTATGTAACGTGCTCCTAAGTTTAACAGTTTATTAATTATTTGTATACAAATTAATATGAGAATTATTAAGAGTTATATATACGTATTTTTTCTTTATTGCCTTCAATTTTCCGTTTCGTTCCTAAGAAAAAATTCTTAATCAATTTCCTTCCTCTCGAAACACCACGAAACTTTCTTCGTAGTATAATATATTTTGTATAATAACGAGTTTTTCCTCATAAAGAGTATTAAATATACTCATTATCTTATGTGAGAGATAACACGGATCGAGATTAAACCCGAAATCTACCAATTATGAGGCGACTGCTCTATCAACTGAGCTATCCGGCTCTCGTTTCGCTCCTATATAAATATGAATATATAACCCTCGGGACAGTCTTAAAATAAATGATGAAGTGGGAGAGGAGAGGAATGACGTCATCACTCCCCCCCCCCTGCTCTTCCGACACTTTCCCGTCCCATATGGAACCGAGAGAGCGTAACATTCTACGTCATATTCCCCTCCCCGGAAACATGTCAAGTGATAATTTTACTGATTCATTCTCTTTTTCCTTCGCCTCGTTTATTGGTAAGCAATTTTGCCCGTCTGTCAAGGAAATTTAGCAACCTGATTTCGGTTAAATCAGCTGGTTTTTCCATGTTGTAGCTTATGACCTACTAAACAGTCTCAAAGCTAAATAATGAACAATTGAGTTACAATCAGTCAAACAGCTTGCAAAGCCCGATTTTTTCATGTTTGACTTATTGTAAATCAATAACTGTTTATTATTTAGCTTTGAGCCTATTACATTTTTTGTTTAGTAGATCATAAGTTATAACATGAAAAAGCTAGCTGATTTTATCGGAATTCAATTTCATGCAAATTCAAATTTTGCACTAATCCTATAAAATTGAATCTTAATATAAAGTCAACTCGTTTTCCCATTGAAGCTTATGACCTGTTGAACAAAAACTGTAATAGCTTCAAAGCTAAATAATATAATAGACAAAAAAGTTATATTAATTTACAGTCAATATATCAATCACGAAAAGTTCAAATTCTGTGAATTGTTTGACTATCCATTATTTATAGCTTTGAGGCTGTTACATCTTTTGTTCAACAGGTTATAAAAGCTACAATATTGAAAAAGCCAGCTGATTTCATCGAAATCCTTTTTACATAAGATAGTACAGAGTTTTTACTTTTACACACATGTATATAGAGGAGGGGAATAAATAAAAATGTCAAAATTTTTGGATTCGCGAAACTCTTCTCTTGAAATAGAATAATCACATATTCAAGAAAGAAGAAGAAATTAAGAAGTCATGGAAAAGCCCGCTTCGAATGCGGGTAATTCGATGTAATCCTTGTCGATCCACTCATCTTCGCTAGGCGGAGGAGTGCCACGTGACACGGAAGTCAACAAGGGCAAACCATTCGGACCTGGTGTCTTGAGATACTTGACGAGTCGGTCGATCAATCCTAACTGATTTCCCGCATTTTGCGGCCCCAATTCCTCCTCGTACCGATGATAATAATCCATCCTCGGTCTCGCTTTTTTGCCGAACACAAAGTGCTCCGGCAGACAGTGATGCTGACGGCAAAAGTAATCTCGGCCCCCCTCGGCGTAGCACCACGTGCCATCGGGTAGATAGGGGTCGAGGCCGAGATCGTTCAGTTCTACGCGCGGCGCGTAATAAGCGGCGATGTCTCTTCGTCGGCAAAATATCGCGCAGGCTATCCAGGGTAAATCAGCCTCATGATCGACCTGCAAACCCTTGGCCGAGCCGTCCAGTTCCGGCAGTTTCTCGCTGAAGAGGCGGCACTTCAGCGTGGCAAATTCGATGACGGTTGTTCTGCGTTTCTTTCGGCAAAGCTTCTCGTCGTTGCACAAAAGTACGTTGTAGTACGACCCTTTGCAACTCGTTACCGGCTTGTGATCCCGATTTTCGCAAAAGCGTCGTCTAACACGAACTCCTTTGGACCGTTCCAGGCAGCCACTGCTGCAGGAATCTTCCTTCCACTCGCTCCAGCTACCCTTTTCGCTGTTGGACGATTGTTCCAGAACGGGCATGCATTCTCCGCCACGACATTCCCTGCCGGGTGCGCAGTGAGTTCCTGGAAGAAAAAAAAATTTTTTAAATGAGTCAGCTTCACCGAATATGAAGCCATTTCTGATCCCAAGTAAACTGACGTCATTAAACGGCAAAATGACATTATTAAATGTCAAAATGATTTACTAACATCTACTAAAAGGCAAATTGAAAAATATAGAATCAAAAGGGTCTGAATAGCTTAGTTGGTAAGAGCAGTCGCCCGGAAAGTGAAAAACGCGGGTTCGATTCCCGCTTCAGCGACTTTTCGGATCTATATTTTTCTCCATATGTAAGTTGGAGATTAATTTATATATGGAACTTAGTAATCTCAAACCAAGAGATACAGTTCCGAAGAATTATTTTTCGTGCTTGGGCTCTATTGGCCGATTTAAAATTCATATATTATTATTATTATTAATATTGAGAGCCGACATATATTTCTTATCTGATCCTAAGAATGTTTGAATATCCTCTGGATATCCTCTGAATATCTTTCGGATATGTTGTGCTATTAGGGGCACATATGTATATGGAGTTCCTTCTTCCAGGTTTTTCTAACTCTCTTTTAAAGAATAACTTACTTATGACCGATTTCGTGAGCAGCGATGAAAACCGACGTAAATCCCGCGGATGGATATGGTTTCCCGAGCTGATCGGTGACCCCCAATTCCGCAATCACGCAGGAATAGAGCGGAATGCAAAGACCACCGACGGTGGCCAATCCCATGGTGGCCCTGTTCCTCTTCCCGTCCTCGAGGGCGTAAAGATCCAATCCGGTCACGTAGAGAGCCATGTCCCAATGACGCGGATCGTCATCCTCGGCGGGATTCCGCGCGCTCGCGTAATGGCAAAACGAATCCAAGAGACCTCCTCGTTCGCCACCGAAGTGCGGCAAATCGAAGGGCTGTCTCTGAATAACGTCCAGGCGTATCAGCGAGATGTCGATCGGGACTCCCAGACTCGGATGACGGTACAACGCTTGAACGCCGTTCACGTACGCCAGCAACATGTCGCGAATCTTCTCGTCGTCCTCGTCTAGAAAGGGCGAAAACAGACGATACGCCGCCTCATCGAAGAAGACGGCCAGCTCCAACGTCAATCGCTCATCTTTCGCGAGTCTGGCTCGCTTTGGATGAGTCTCTTGGAGACTTGGAACTCGGAGACTGAGTGATCGTTTGACTACATGAGGCTCGCCGATAGAGACGGCTTCTTTTTTATTAATATAACGATCGTCAACGAGCAAGGGCGAGGACTTCAGGCTGTTTCGTAATGGTGTAATCTCCAACGTAACGTTCTCCAGAAAGATGAGCCCGTGCTACTTCCAACAAAGATACATATATATTATTTTTAATACTATGTATACTGATGAGAGATATCCCAAGTAGCAAACTGACGTCATTTTGACGTCGAATAACGTCATTAAACGTAGAATGACGTCAATAAACGGAGAATGACGTCATTAAACGTCGAATATCATTTTGACGTCGAATGACATCATTAAACGTCAAAATGATACATATGCAGAATTGCATTGGGTAATAACTAGTTAATTAGTTAAAAGTTAAAAAATAGTTAAAAAGTTAATAATTTTTAATTTAACTTAGTTAATTTAAAATGTATTAATTTTGAACTTTAACTATAGTTATTTTTGACCTTAAACTTATTAACTTTTTTCTAAGTTAAATTTTGTTATCTCTGAATACCATTATTGTTTTTTATAAGTAATAAACGTATTGTTTTTAAATTAAAGTATTATTAATTTTTATGTTTATTTTGTCATCAATTGTAATTACCAACCCATGGAACAGACTGAAGTCAAGAAAAAGTCAAAATGACTTTATTTTGATTTGATAAATATAGTCATGATTTTCCATATACAAGATTATCATCCTGAAGATAGAAATGAAGGATTCTAATTAATTGATTCTCTTATGCATTATGTAAAAGTGCTTCGGCTGTTAAACCGCTTTGGTTCTTATATATTACTACAATAGGATGTTTCTTTACCCGTATGAAGTTAGCCCCCAATATTAAATAAAATTAATTTTCTTTAGTTCATTCGATTGTTCATCGTTTGCATATGTATGCACATTCGGAACTTTCGTTTGCACACTTCTAGTAAAAAAGTTATTAAAAAAACAAATTTGGGGGGATAAGGCAATTTCACACTAACCCTCCAATTACGTGCAAATTAAATCGAAAGTCTTAATCAATAGATTTTAACGTTCGTTGTGTTCTTTGGGAAAAAAATATATTTCTATATAAAAATCAAAGGAGAATATACGGAAGCGTTACAAGGGGATACGCAATATACGCTCCAGCGTAGGGCGCAAAATTTTAATAGTCTAATTGTCAATTATTTATTGCAGTTTTGCAAAATAATGGAGCCTTTGTCAAGAGGGCGCACAATCAAATTCCAGCGTAGGGGCGCCTAAGACTGTCGTAACTCCTCCGAGGATATAGTATGTTAAAAAAAGTCGACTTCCCGCCGTCTATCGATGAAACCTAAAATTCGTTCCATGGGTATCTACTGGTATCTATGAACTATATAAGTAAAAATATGATGGCCTTTTTTCCTAGAGACCTAGGAAAAGTATTGAAAATCTATCAAAACTCTATTGAAAATATATAGCTTCATTCGATCGATCTGAAGAAAACTAAAGTCGACGACATGGATGAATTTTCAATCAAACCAACTTCTAGTTAAAACTTATCAAATAGTTTTTGAGATCAATAATGTTTTAATATCGAAATCGCAAAATTCAAGATTGCGGATCCAATATGGTGGATCAGTATTGAGAGAAACTATATATGGAACTCGAATTTTAGGTTCCATCGATAGTCGGGAAATGGACCTTTTTTAACATCCTCCTTTCTTTGTTATTTGTTATTGTTTTGTATATTTTCTCCTTTGGTTTTTATCGGAGCTATCGCCTAGTTCTCTCTTGTGGACTGCGTCGATAGGCAAGGATAGATAGCAGGAACTAGTCTCTTTATTCTAAGTAAGAATACGTGATTTTTATTCTTCGGATCACAAATGTTCTTCTCGGGTTTACCGGACGGCTCGTCGTACCAGACTCAGCCCTCCGTGCCGCATCGCTCCTTTTTAAAGACGCGGAAACTCTCTCCTAATTCGGCGCTTCGCCCTTGTGGACGCAATAACAAACTGTCGATGTACACAATTACAGAGAGCTCTCAGTAGCGTATATCGAAGGCGCGCGGGGATCACGGAAATTAATTTTTTCCCAAACATACCCCTCGGGTTGAATCGCCAAGGGATTCAAATGACAGTCAGAGGTAAATCCTTACACATTGAACTGCAATCATTGGAGACAACCTGCAGAATTTAGATTACGCTGAACCGTCCGGACTTACCGGCAATTTACAGAGTTTAACAATAGGTCTTACAAAAGTAGAAGACGCGGTCTTGACCTGAGCAACTCGCACCAGGCCATCCTTGTCAGGCTTACATTCGATGATTCTCGCAAGTTCCCATCTGCAGGGAGGTAAATTAGGATTTTTTATTAGAACAATATCGTTTATGCGAAATTCATCAGATCGATTCTGCCATTTAAAACGCTGCTGCAAGGTGTTCAAGTAGTCAAGACTCCACAATTTCCAAAATTGCTCGTATTTCGCACGCATTAATTGCCATCGATCGAGTCGTGACTCGGAGATATGTAAGACGCTCGGACTCGGAATCGATTTAATGGCGCTACCAATTAAAAAATGCCCTGGTGTGAGCGCATTGCAAGAATTTACATCGTCATGAAGTGCGGCGATCGGGCGCGAATTCAAACATGCTTCGATGTTACATAAAAGCGTGGTGAACTCTTCGACCGTAGGTGTGCAGGAACCAAGTATACGTCGCAAGTGGTGCTTAACACTCTTAACACCTGCCTCCCACATGCCCCCAAAATGAGGGGCAGAAGGCGGAATGAAATGCCATTGAACTGGCTTTGACGCGAACTTCGCCTGCAAATCTACGTCGGCTTGAGTCTGTCGGATCGCTGTAACAAGTTCGCGATCCGCGCCTTGATAGGTAGTCGCGTTGTCGGAATAAAGATCGGATGGAATGCCACGACGCGCTACGAACCGTTCGAAAGATGCGAGAAACGCAGCCGTGGAATAATCATGAACGAGCTCTAAGTGTATAGCTCGTGTAGCGAGACAAACAAATAGCGAGATGTATGTTTTGTGCGACTTACGTCCGCGGCCGGAAGCGTCTCGAATTGCGAAGGGGCCGGCGTAATCAAGTCCCGTATGGCAAAATGGACGGGACGGAGTTACTCTAAATGTAGGAAGGTCGGCCATAAATTGTACGCCGGTTATGGCGCGATGCCGAGTACATGTCACGCAATTGCGGATACAACCTTTTACCATGCTTCGCGCCCCCAGAATCCAATATTGTTCTCGCAACGTGCGAAGCATTAATTGTACACCGCCGTGAAGTGTAGCCTTATGAATTTGATCGATAATGAGCTTAGAAAGGTAATGTTTTGGAAGTAGAATCGGAAATTTACGATCATATGAAAGGTCAGACAGTTGAAGTCGACCACCCACGCGTAGGATACCGGAGGGATCCAGGAACGGATCGAGAGAATGGATGGAGCATCGAACTGGTAACCTCGACTTGGCTTTGAAAGCGACGATTTCTTTTGAAAAGTATTCCGTTTGCATCTGTTTAATCCAGAATCTGTGCGCGGTTTTTATTTCATCGACTTGCAAAATAGAGAGACCTTGAGCAACATCTGGGACTCTCGTTCGAAACTTGAACCGAAGGACGTATGCGGTGACCCGTAGTAAGCGTGGCCACGTGGAGATATGATTGAAGGATTCAAAAAGTTCCGCTCGATTTGAATGATGCGAGTGGACTGCATTTGACGCTTTCAATTCGGAATCATCTTCGGTGCAACTTATCGTAGATTGAACTGGCCAATTATCCTCGTTAAATTTCAGCCATGCCGGGCCGTTCCACCAGGAACTAGAAGGCGTTAGCTGAGCTGGATTTATGCCGCGCGATGCGCAATCTGCGGGATTATCTTCTGTTGGCACATGCAGCCATGTCGCCGTAGGAAGCTTCGTTTGAATAGAAGACACTCTGTTAGCTACAAATACTTTTAAATCTGATGGAGCCTTTTGCAATCATGCTAATACGATTGTCGAGTCACTCCAGCAAAACACAGGAATGTTTTGCAATTTCATCGCGTCAATAGTAAACGAAATACAGCGTGCTAGCAGCTGAGCCGCACAGAGCTCGAGTCGTGGAATCGAAATCGTTTTAATCGGAGCGACCTTGGTTTTTGATAGGAGAAGTCGAACAGGACTATCGCCAGAATTTGTGACAATTTTTGAATAGACTACCGCTGCATAGGCTTTAGATGAAGCGTCGCAAAAGCCGTGTAAATGCAAGCACTGAATGTTACGCTCGAAGCCTAACCAACGAGGAACTTGCAGAGTCGTCAAGTGTAACATCTTTTCGCAAAAAGCATTCGGTTGTTATTTCCGCAGGAAGAATATCATCCCATCCGTAGGAAAATTTCCACAGTTTTTGCAGTAGAATTTTGAGAGATATCGTGATCGGAGACACCCATCCGAGGGGATCGAATATTTTCGCTATCGTCGAAAGGATTTGTCGTTTCGAAATGTCGGTAGATGGTGGACGGAATTTTATTTCAAAGGAGAAATTATCATCGCAAGGTGTCCAATGAATACCGAGTATTTTTAATTGTTCACCTTCTTGGAAAGGCTTGGAACTTGCTAGACCGTGATTCGCAGGATTTATATCTTGTAGAATTTCAAAATCGTTGCTGGCCCATTTTCTGAGATGAATGCCTGCGCTTAGTAAACAGCCGATTAGTTGGTCGCGTTTTTTAATCGTGGATGGTTTATCATCGCCTCCGGATAGGACATCGTCAACGTATATTTCATTTTGCAAAATTGCTTGAGCTAGTGGAAAACGCGAACTCTCGTCGATTGAAAGTTGTTTGAGCACGCGTTGGGCGAGATAAGGCGCGCAGGCAGTACCATAAGTAACGGTATTTAATGAATAAGTATGGACTGGCTCGTTCGGAATCGTACGCCACAATATTAATTGATATTGGCGATCGTCTGAATGAATCTGTATTTGTCGAAACATTTGCTGAATATCAGCGGAAAAAACGTATTTGTACAAACGCCATTGAAGAATAATCGCCGGAAGATCGGCTTGCAACTTTGGACCAATCATAAGATGGTCATTCAAAGAAGTGTTATTCGAGGTATTTGCCGAGGCATTAAACACTACACGAAGTTTGGTTGTAGTATTGTCCTCGCGAATAACTGGATGATGAGGTAGAAACGTCGGTTGAAAGAAGCGTTGCACGTTTTCGATTTTTTGCATATGCCCGAGCTCTTCGTACTCGTTAAGAAAGTCGACGTATTGCCCTGAAATTTCCCGAGAATTGGCTAAACGTCGCTCTAGTTGCGCGAGTGAACGCGTAGCTACTGACCTTGACTCGCCGATCTTTATCGGAGGACCAGACTTGAAGGGTAAGCGGACAACATAGCGCCCTGAAGAATCGCGCATATGTGTCTCTTGAAAATGTAAGTTGCAACGAAGATTTTCCTCTGAGAGAGCGTGTGTCGTTGGAATTTCTTCCAGCTCCCAAAAACGTCGGAGTTCGAAATCGAGATTGCCAGAAGTTGCTTGGTGAACGTGAATTCTTTGGCTATTTTTTTGGTTTGAAATAGGACCCGAAATGATCCACCCGAATATCGTTTCTTGCGCAAGTGTAGCATCGTTAGAAGCTTTCATTAAGCCACCCATCATAATTGAACCGTATAATTCGGCCCCGAGAAGTACTTCGATTGCATCATTTGAGCTTGGATTTGGATCGGCTAGATTCAATTTGGAAAGAAACGGAATCTCTTGTAATTGGAAATGAGGTGGAATGTACGCTGTAATTTTTGGAACGACCAATGCTTTGGTATGAAGAATCGTATCATTTTTATTAGTCGCGCTGATAGAAATAGAGACGGCATGTTGAACGCAATTAGACGTAGTGTCACCGATGCCAGATACCTTTACGCGTGTTGAAATTAAGCGAGCTCTCAACATTTGAGCGACTCGTGACGAAACGAATGTGGCATCGGAACCTTGATCGATCAGTGCTCGCGTGTAAACATATCGACCGTTTTCTGATCCTATACAAACACGTGCGGTAGCCAGGAGCACGGGTTTAACTCCCGCGTTCACGTGTGAATGTACGTTGGACGCGTTATCGCATTGTCCAGAGTCTGTTGTTGTCGTTAAACTTGACCTTGAATTCTCGTGTAACAAAGTATGATGTTGTCTTTTACATTTCAAGCAAGTAAAGGAACTACGACAATTCGAAACGTAATGACCTTTGGTCAAACAATTTTTGCATATATTATTTTTTTGAACAAACTCTAGTCGATGCGAAATGCTTAACGCTTGAAATTTCTCGCAATGCATTAAACGATGTGTTTCGGAACAAAGAGCGCACGTACTCGCGGTGTTTGTATGGTGAGAACGCACTATATTATTTTTTCGTGCCGCATTTGGAATCGAGCGAGCACCGGAACTCTTTTCGGATGAGTTTCCGTTGGCGGACTTCGAGTTATCTCCGTCCTTGGATACAGCCTCAAGCGAACGAATTTGTGTATCTAGAAACGCGTATAGTTTTTCCATCGTAGGATATCTCCTCTCTGAACCTAAGCTGACTTCCCAATCTTTTCTCGTCAATTTGTCTAGTTTTTGTACAAGAATGTAGACTAAAATCATATCCCATTCATCTACAGAACATTTCAAGGCACGCAGAGCATTTATCGATTCCGATGAATTGGAGCGTAATTGTTTTAACCCGAACAGATCGTTAGACGAAACATTAGGAATGGTAAATAAACGTTTGAAATATGCGTCAATAATAACGCGTTGATTTTCGTAACGATTCGTGAGTTCCTTCCATGCAACATCGAAATTACTATCGGTTAGAGAAAGATGGGAAATCAACTTAGCAGCGTCGCCAGTAACCGCGGATAATAAATATTGCAATTTCTCGACTTGCGATATGGAACGGCGATTTTTAACGAGCGCAAGAAACAAATCGCGAAAAGTTAGCCACTCGGTTACATTACCGGAGAAAGAAGGCAAGTTGATCTTCGGCAATCGGATCTCGTTGATGGACGTCGTTGCGGCCGCCGTTGGTACAGGAATGGAAATTGAAGCGACGTTGAATGCCTCGAGTTTTTCTTGAAAGAAGTCGTAGGCTTGCATGTACGAGACCTCCGCCTTGTCTAGCAGCTTGCTCTTGAAGAAGGGAAGCTGTGCCGCGTCTGCGTCGGTTGCTACTGCCTCAATGATAGCGGCATTCTCCTGGCATTTATTCCAGTAATTTTGCAAGAGTTGAAATCGTCCTTTAGTGATGGCATGAGTTTGATTATCAACTCCAAGCTTTTGGAAATTCGTTATTGAGTTCGTTAAATAACGTAAATTCGTATCGAACGCAAATATTGCCTTGTCCATTTCGATCTATTGTCTTGCAGAGCTCGACCTTGTAAGGTAAACACGGTGTTGAAATGGAGAACGTATGTACGTGAGTCGAAATACTTCCTTGTCGTACGGAAATTTTACTCGGAATGTAGCGCAATTGTTGAATGGCTCACTTGAAGTAGTTGCACTGCTTGCACGTGTATCTTGTTTGAATCCATCCGTTAATTTCTCGACACAGATCCGGCTCGAAGGACCATGTTTTGTATATTTTCTCCTTTGGTTTTTATCGGAGCTATCGCCTAGTTCTCTCTTGTGGACTGCGTCGATAGGCAAGGATAGATAGCAGGAACTAGTCTCTTTATTCTAAGTAAGAATACGTGATTTTTATTCTTCGGATCACAAATGTTCTTCTCGGGTTTACCGGACGGCTCGTCGTACCAGACTCAGCCCTCCGTGCCGCATCGCTCCTTTTTAAAGACGCGGAAACTCTCTCCTAATTCGGCGCTTCGCCCTTGTGGACGCAATAACAAACTGTCGATGTACACAATTACAGAGAGCTCTCAGTAGCGTATATCGAAGGCGCGCGGGGATCACGGAAATTAATTTTTTCCCAAACAGTTATTATAAATTTTAAAATAATTAACAAACAAAATTCTAATATAATATAAATAATGTTTTTAAAAATCAACTTTTGATTTAACTTCAGTTAATTTAATCTTAATTTATCTTGATGACATAATTTATAAACAGACGTTTGGGACCCCTATGGGGTCACCGTTATCACCAATTATTGCAGACCTGGTTATGCAAGATCTTGAGGATACAGTTCTCAAAGCGTTGAATTTGGAATGTTTGTTTTATTTTCGTTATGTGGATGACATAATAGTGGCCACCTCTATGACTAATATGACTCAGATTGTGAATAATTTTAACAACTATCATGAAAGACTTAAATTCACGGTCGAACAAGAGGTTAACCATAGCTTGAATTTCTTAGATTTATCACTTAAAATTATTAATAACAAAATATATATAGACTGGTATCAAAAAGAAACCTTCTCAGGAAGGACGTTATCATTTTATTCAAACCACCCACTATGCCACAAAATAGGAATAATATATAACCTTGTAGACAGATGTCTATTGCTATCACATCCACTATTTTTTAATAAAAATTTGGAGTTAATTATTAATATACTCAGAAGCAATGGTTACCCTCTTGATCTGATTTTTAACAAAATTAATCATCGGATAGAACACATCATATCTAAGGGGAGCATTATAGAGAGACAGGCCAACATAGAAAGAACAAAAAGTATAAGAAATGACTCGGTCAATAAAAAATTCTTTGTCATTCCGTATATAGATGGGATCTCAGAAATGATTGTTTCCTCGGTAAAAAATAAAAATTGTATGGTAGGGTATAGATGTCTCAACAAACTGGATAATATTATTAAAGCGCAGAAAGATAAAACTAAACATCCATGCAATTCGAATGTGGTTTATAAGATCAGTTGCAATAATTGTAATGCATCTTATGTAGGCCAAACAAAGAGGCAATTGCAGACGCGAATAAAAGAACATAAAAATAATATTAGGTTGGACTCAACGAAACATTCAGTAATTTCTGAACACATAATAAATGAACATCATACTTTTAATTGGGACAATGTTAAGATCATAGACAACGAAAATAATTATTATAAAAGACTCATTTCTGAGATGCTACATATCAAGGAACAAAAAAATGGACTAAATTTAAACAAAGATACTGAGTTACTTAGCGAGTCGTATTTTGATATTTTGGATATATTAGCGAACAAGAAATAATAATAGGACAAATAGGACATTAACGAGTAAAACATAGATATTAGATCATATATAAACACGCACGCTCGCCGATCAAGTAGAGTTTAAAATGAGCTGTCTTTCTGTATTGTTGGTTTGTTATGTGTCATCCTTAATAACTGTTAATAAGTAGCAAAATTATCAAGAAGAACGATGATAGGTAAGCATACTACCAATTGTAGGGGATACATATTATAATTTGGACATGCGTTGATCGGTAATTTTTTATAAATCGCAGCGCCTACGGAACGGGTTAATTTCTCGCATATTAACGATGAAACTATCCGAGATCTGAACAAAATCAGGGATCATATCGAGGCGAACATTGTTGGACAGGACGGATTGAAACACGCGTTAATTACTCAAAAACTCTTGATTCTGAATAACTATAATTAAATTTCGATATTATGTGAATTGTAAGAATTTATATTTCAATAATTATACTGAAGAAGACCGCGTGCGGTCGAAACGTTTATAGAATGATTGTAATTTGCGTTAGTTTTAATATAATGACTGTAGTTTTATAATTTATACATGTAATAAATGGTAGTTGACTGAACATCTCGAATATTCAGCTCGATAAGTTGGCCTTATATTTATCACTTTGTTTTCAATATACGAGCGACAATTGTATTAATTTATTTTTAATTTATCTTATTAATTTTAACTGAATTAATTTTTTATTCATGCAACTGTTAACTTAACTAAATTAATTTTATATAAACAACTAACTTTATAATTTAACTTACAATTAGTTTTAAAAAATTATTAACTTATCCATCCTTGCGTATATGCTTGCTACCTGGGATATTTTTTAAATATATATATATATATATATTGTATATATACCAACCAATCCATGTTCTTGGCAGAAACTTATGGCCGCGGAAGCGATGTCATCTTCGTGAAGGTAATAGCAAGATTCTGGTGCATTCAATTGCAACAACTCTTCGATAATGCCTTTAGTATTATGTTTCCATATTTGAAATTCGGGCGATACAATTTTGTCGTTTCTACGTAGGCTTAATTGAATCAATTGCCCGAACACTTCAAAAGTTAATGGAATCTGTACAAATTTTGGATATATGCATATATATATATGTATTAAAAACATATATATATATATATATATATATATATTACAATAATACATATGTTAAAAACTTTTTTCTCGATACATATATGTATATAAAATTAGAAGAATTTTTATTTCGCACATAATATACTTCTTAAAAAAGCAAAATTTCAAGAAATGAGAAAAAAATGTCTTTTAATATAAATATTTGTAAAATAATAAGAAAAATAATTAGAAACAATTAAAAAAATAAAAAAGAATTTAAAAAGAAAAAGTAAAATGTTTTAAGGAAAAACTCTTATATGAATTTATATAAAATTTAATATATGAAACAAAAATTTCATTTTTTCTAAAAAAAAATGTGAAAATTATTTTTCTTCAAATAATAAAAAAATATAATTGGAAATAATTATAATAACTTTTGCAAAGTAAAATTTAGAAACGTAAAAAAATTACATATATATATAATTGCAATTTCTTCTCATTTTTATATACGCTTTTCTCACTTATTTATATGTATATATTATATACAGGGTGTCCTGAAATTAAATGTCAAAACTTTGGGAGCATGTAGAGGATCGATAAACTAAGAAAAAAAGTCATATATAGATATGCTCGTTTTTGCTTTATTTTCGAGAAAATGACAAAAAAGGGCAAAACATTTTTTACCGAAAACGTAATTATTATGTTTAAATTCCTGCCTTTCTCCTACGATTTAGTCAGTTACTCATAAAAAATCTTCGAGTGAATTATACTGCTTGTTACAATATGCCGTGTTTATATTCTAATATTATATTCTAATGTATATGTATGACAATTTTTATTTATTTTAATTTTTGTTCTTTGTGAAAAATATTTTTTCTAATTATTTTTTATATATTATATATATATATATATATATATATATATATGGATACATTATATATATAATTATTATATAAATATTTTTATGTTTGATTATACTATACATATATGGATTTTTTTCAGTGATTTTGAAAAATAAAAATCACTAGTATCAAATAATAAAAAAATAATAAATTTATACGTACCTCCGATGCACCTTTATTCGAGTTCCATATCGGTAGCAGTATCACCTCGATGTCTCGCGTATTATGGGCGTATACCTCGTTTAATAAAACATGCACTAACACTAATCTTAACACGGAGGATAGCATTCTCTTTACTGTGTGCTACCTCAAGTTCAAGAGTAGTCGAAAAGATATTATAATATCAACAGCTCTTTATATATATTTTTGAATGCATATATTCACACATATATTTGTATTATATAACCCGCATATTCTTTTATTTTTTCCCCGTGTCACCGGATGGTGACTATATTATCATTTCGGAAATTCACGTAAATATTTATGCTGGCACCTGTATTCAAAAATATCCGCGGTCATTGACATTTTTGTATATACATATACATATTAATTTAACATATATAAGATAGGCAATAAGAGCCAAATCGCGGATGACAGTGCGTTATTCTAAACGAAACTAAAATTTTTTCGTTAGAATTAAATACCTGTGCACAAGGCACCAAATTTTTACTTGGACACGGCCAAGATATAAAATTGGAATAATCTCTACAAGAGATTTTTAATTCCATGTATCCCCTATTCCCCCTAAAGAAATAAAGTGCGAGAGAAAAATATAGATCCGAAAGTCGCAGAATCGGGAATCGAACCCGAGACCTTTCGCTTGCCGGGCGACTGCTCTTCCAACTGAGCTATTCAGATTCTTTCGATTCTATACTTTTCTCTGTTATATATATTAATGTTGGTAAATAAACGCCTTTAAGCCAGCGTGTATAAATTAAGAGTTTAACTAGGCTCTGTAATATATAAATATGAATTTAACATATATAAGATAGGCAATAAGAGCCAAATCGCGGATGACAGTGCGTTATTCTAAACGAAACTAAATTTTTTCGTTAGAATTAAATACCTGTGCACAAGGCACCAAATTTTTACTTGGACACGGCCAAGATATAAAATTGGAATAATCTCTACAAGAGATTTTTAATTCCATGTATCCCCTATTCCCCCTAAAGAAATAAAGTGCGAGAGAAAAATATAGATCCGAAAGTCGCAGAATCGGGAATCGAACCCGAGACCTTTCGCTTGCCGGGCGACTGCTCTTCCAACTGAGCTATTCAGATTCTTTCGATTCTATACTTTTCTCTGTTATATATATTAATGTTGGTAAATAAACGCCTTTAAGCCAGCGTGTATAAATTAAGAGTTTAACTAGGCTCTGTAATATATAAATATAAATTTAACATATATAAGATAGGCAATAAGAGCCAAATCGCGGATGACAGTGCGTTATTCTAAACGAAACTAAATTTTTTCGTTAGAATTAAATACCTGTGCACAAGGCACCAAATTTTTACTTGGACACGGCCAAGATATAAAATTGGAATAATCTCTACAAGAGATTTTTAATTCCATGTATCCCCTATTCCCCCTAAAGAAATAAAGTGCGAGAGAAAAATATAGATCCGAAAGTCGCAGAATCGGGAATCGAACCCGAGACCTTTCGCTTGCCGGGCGACTGCTCTTCCAACTGAGCTATTCAGATTCTTTCGATTCTATACTTTTCTCTGTTATATATATTAATGTTGGTAAATAAACGCCTTTAAGCCAGCGTGTATAAATTAAGAGTTTAACTAGGCTCTGTAATATATAAATATAAATTTAACATATATAAGATAGGCAATAAGAGCCAAATCGCGGATGACAGTGCGTTATTCTAAACGAAACTAAAATTTTTTCGTTAGAATTAAATACCTGTGCACAAGGCACCAAATTTTTACTTGGACACGGCCAAGATATAAAATTGGAATAATCTCTACAAGAGATTTTTAATTCCATGTATCCCCTATTCCCCCTAAAGAAATAAAGTGCGAGAGAAAAATATAGATCCGAAAGTCGCAGAATCGGGAATCGAACCCGAGACCTTAAAGGTCGGCTTAAAGGCGTTTATTTACCAACATTAATATATATAACAGAAAAGTATAGAATCGAAAGAATCTGAATAGCTCAGTTGGAAGAGCAGTCGCCCGGCAAGCGAAAGGTCTCGGGTTCGATTCCCGATTCTGCGACTTTCGGATCTATATTTTTCTCTCGCACTTTATTTCTTTAGGGGGAATAGGGGATACATGGAATTAAAAATCTCTTGTAGAGATTATTCCAATTTTATATCTTGGCCGTGTCCAAGTAAAAATTTGGTGCCTTGTGCACAGGTATTTAATTCTAACGAAAAAATTTTAGTTTCGTTTAGAATAACGCACTGTCATCCGCGATTTGGCTCTTATTGCCTATCTTATATATGTTAAATTTATATTTATATATTACAGAGCCTAGTTAAACTCTTAATTTATACACGCTGGCTTAAAGGCGTTTATTTACCAACATTAATATATATAACAGAGAAAAGTATAGAATCGAAAGAATCTGAATAGCTCAGTTGGAAGAGCAGTCGCCCGGCAAGCGAAAGGTCTCGGGTTCGATTCCCGATTCTGCGACTTTCGGATCTATATTTTTCTCTCGCACTTTATTTCTTTAGGGGGAATAGGGGATACATGGAATTAAAAATCTCTTGTAGAGATTATTCCAATTTTATATCTTGGCCGTGTCCAAGTAAAAATTTGGTGCCTTGTGCACAGGTATTTAATTCTAACGAAAAAATTTTAGTTTCGTTTAGAATAACGCACTGTCATCCGCGATTTGGCTCTTATTGCCTATCTTATATATGTTAAATTTATATTTATATATTACAGAGCCTAGTTAAACTCTTAATTTATACACGCTGGCTTAAAGGCGTTTATTTACCAACATTAATATATATAACAGAGAAAAGTATAGAATCGAAAGAATCTGAATAGCTCAGTTGGAAGAGCAGTCGCCCGGCAAGCGAAAGGTCTCGGGTTCGATTCCCGATTCTGCGACTTTCGGATCTATATTTTTCTCTCGCACTTTATTTCTTTAGGGGGAATAGGGGATACATGGAATTAAAAATCTCTTGTAGAGATTATTCCAATTTTATATCTTGGCCGTGTCCAAGTAAAAATTTGGTGCCTTGTGCACAGGTATTTAATTCTAACGAAAAATTTTAGTTTCGTTTAGAATAACGCACTGTCATCCGCGATTTGGCTCTTATTGCCTATCTTATATATGTTAAATTTATATTTATATATTACAGAGCCTAGTTAAACTCTTAATTTATACACGCTGGCTTAAAGGCGTTTATTTACCAACATTAATATATATAACAGAGAAAAGTATAGAATCGAAAGAATCTGAATAGCTCAGTTGGAAGAGCAGTCGCCCGGCAAGCGAAAGGTCTCGGGTTCGATTCCCGATTCTGCGACTTTCGGATCTATATTTTTCTCTCGCACTTTATTTCTTTAGGGGGAATAGGGGATACATGGAATTAAAAATCTCTTGTAGAGATTATTCCAATTTTATATCTTGGCCGTGTCCAAGTAAAAATTTGGTGCCTTGTGCACAGGTATTTAATTCTAACGAAAAAATTTTAGTTTCGTTTAGAATAACGCACTGTCATCCGCGATTTGGCTCTTATTGCCTATCTTATATATGTTAAATTTATATTTATATATTACAGAGCCTAGTTAAACTCTTAATTTATACACGCTGGCTTAAAGGCGTTTATTTACCAACATTAATATATATAACAGAGAAAAGTATAGAATCGAAAGAATCTGAATAGCTCAGTTGGAAGAGCAGTCGCCCGGCAAGCGAAAGGTCTCGGGTTCGATTCCCGATTCTGCGACTTTCGGATCTATATTTTTCTCTCGCACTTTATTTCTTTAGGGGGAATAGGGGATACATGGAATTAAAAATCTCTTGTAGAGATTATTCCAATTTTATATCTTGGCCGTGTCCAAGTAAAAATTTGGTGCCTTGTGCACAGGTATTTAATTCTAACGAAAAAATTTTAGTTTCGTTTAGAATAACGCACTGTCATCCGCGATTTGGCTCTTATTGCCTATCTTATATATGTTAAATTTATATTTATATATTACAGAGCCTAGTTAAACTCTTAACATATACATATTTTTTATGCTATGTAAAAATATACAGGGTGTTTCTAAATTTAGGTGCGAAAAATTTTAGATGATTCTTTGTCGAAAAAAATTAAGGGGAGTTTTTCATATAAACACTCCTCTAAAAAAAGAGATGAAAATTAGATTATTTTTTTTACTATTGATTTTAACGAAAAAAATAGAAGAAATAAAAAGTTTGTAGGAAAATCAAACTTTCTAACACATATTTTTAGATAATCGTATTCCGATCTGTTAAAAAGTTCTAATAAAAAATTGAATAGGAATTATTGTTAATTTCATGTCCCCTTTAACAATATGGGAAAATTAAGAAAATATATATAAAAATATCCTTTATACTAGTGGAAAATATCCACCAAACATTTCTTAACTTGTCCAAAATTTGAGAAAAAAAATTAAAAACCTAATTTTGATGTAACTCCTTAGAAAAATATAGAAAAACCCTCCTTAAATTTCGACAAAGAATCATCTTCTAAAGTTTTTCGCGCTTAATTTTTTTATATAAAAAATTAAGGTTCTATTTAAAAAAATTAGATTGACCTTCAAGCGACCTTAAAAAGTGATCCTAGTTAAAATTCATGGTTATCAATTTTCACCCTTTGAAACCTTTTAACTATGTATTTAACTCGTTCGTACTAGAGGGAGTATTCCCGTTTAAATAAATAAATAAATATTGAACAGTAATTATATATAATATTTGTGATTCATCTATGCAATATAATTTTCGATTTAACTCTCAATGAAAAACAATACTTTATCATTGATGTGTCACAAGCAACAATAATAGTCGCACATTTTGTCTTTAATTGACAATTTGATTTTTCTTAGATTCTACAATTAATCTCCAAAATTTGTCGTTTTATTGTACATATCGATTGAACAATGTACTTCGTTTCACGAAAATTCGCCTTGATAAAGGAAACAGCGATAATTATATTAATAATTACATAGAGAGAGGGACAGAAAGAGAGAGAGAGAGAGAGAGAGAGAGAAGAGAGAGAGAGAAACAGAGTGATATATCGTTTCATTTACAGGGTGTCCCACAGAAAATTGTTAGAACTAATTAGCTGTCATTTTTTACCGCATGCAGTTATTGAACAAAAACAAAAATTGTGTTGAAAAGAGGAAAGTGTACGGTTTTTAATGGATATAAATAAAATGTATACCAATTTATTTTATTGAAAAAAAGTAATGAAAGTGCTAATAATCACATATATGTATAAACTAGTGATAAATATTTTCAAAATTTCGCGCCATTTAAATTTGTACAAAATTCTGTTCTTTTACGTAAACTCGTAAAAACATTTTCTAACATGTCATTTTTAATGTTATTGATGATCTTTTTAATAGCTGCTATTAAATCTAGCACTGTTAAAAATATTTATTATTAGCACTTTTTTCATTACTTTTTATCAATAAAATAAATTGATAATTTTTATTTATATCCATTAAAAACTGTACTTTCATCTTTTTGTTTTCTCAAATTACATGTATAAAAAAATGACAGCTGATTTCAGCAATTTCTTATGGGACACCTGTACATAACGTGCGTGTTATCCCATAAATAAGAAAACCGCTAGAAAACAGTTAAAATGCGGGAAGGTTGAAATGAAAGAGAAAAATCATCATACTTTGTTTTACAAATAGTAATAGTATTAAAATATCTCAATAAAAACAATAAATAATAATTGTGATCAATAATAAAATTAATTCATAGAAGTTTCGGCAGTGTGTCTAGCATGCTTGGCAATGCTCGTTATAACTACAAATGTATAATGACATATATAGAGGGGGGGGATATATATTAAATAATACAATAACTATAATTTCTCACAGTCTAACACGTGTGTGATAACCCCTCCATATATATTTATATATACATATATATGTATAAATATGTATATATAAATAATATAATATATATATATATATATATATATATATATATATATATATATATATCAGGATTATATAGCAACGCAAGAAAGAAGGACCTTTATACATACAATGTCGCATCGCATTTTTAAAGCGTTTCTCGAAGTACTACTACTTGATGTTTATTTATAACGTTTACGTCGATCTTTCGTTTTTGGAGCACCAAAAAAAAGATATTGAGCACGAATTCAACCCAATACGGATGTGCCTCGCCTGAAACTTTTTGCGCCAACCGACTCTCTGCCATAATTCTTTGGATATTCCGTACAATGATGTATATGTATAATATAGATGTGTACCGAAAAAAAAATAAAATAAAAAAAAACAAATTCACACGTTCAACTTCCCGTTTTAAAATACAATTGGATTTTTCGACTCCTGGCTCGTCGCCGACCATGCTGGAATTGTAACGTTAAGGTGAGAAAAAACGCTAAAAAATTCTCAGATGCCATTTCAAAATAAATATTTTATATTGATTTCGATGAAACTAGCTTTATAATCAATCAATAGCTGTAAAATAACTGTAATATGCCCAGTATGTCATTGATCAATTGTCATTTTAAAAATGTGCTAGTAATCTGAAATAGTGTATATCAAAATACCTTTTCATTTAAAAATGGCATCTAAGGATTTTCAGCGTGCGCTTTCTCGCCGCTGACATCACAATCTAACATAGCCGCGGCGAGAATCCAGGACCCTCAAAGGACTATTTTTTTCTTTTTTTTGCGGTCCGTTGTCACAATTCTCTATGAACCACAGTGAACACTTAGGTATACATCTTCCAGAGACGGCGGAAGATATAGCCGCATGTAAAAATTTGCAGCAAATATTTGCTACGAACACACAAAGGTTTTTTTGCTGGCTTGTTTTCTTTCTTTCTTTCCTTCCAATGCCACGTGCTCCTTTTTTATCTATCAGTCTACTGTAAAACGCCTGTGATACATATGTGATCGTACATCCAACATACATACATACATACATACATACATACATACATACATACATACATACATACATACATACATACATACATACACACACACGCACACGCACACGCACACGCACACGCACACGCACACGCACACGCACACGCACACGCACACGCACACGCACACACACGCACACGCACACGCACACGCACACGCACACGCACACGCACACGCACACGCACACACACACGCATATACGCGACAGGTACATACATACATTATAAATACATTAATGTATATAATCGCTTCTATAACATATTTCTCTAAAGTACCTAACGTGCCCTAATCATGCCATGTATATGCATTTATGTATGTGCGTGTGTGTATGTGTGCATGCGTGAATTTGTGTTATTGTATACAGGCGTAGATTACGAGACATTTTGCATTTTTTTCTATAGACACGGCATTACCAATCTCGATATAACATTGCGTAATCGTGTTTAAAAAAGATTAAATCGGTGAGATAATAATTATTCGCAAAGCCTTACAAAAGATGTCGATTACTAATAATGATAATAAGTTAAAATGCTACACTTCAGTGAGTAATATTTGATAACGACCTTCTTTCAAAGTCTGTCAATTCTGTCTCCCAATATGCATATTTTAAGGGAATTGCTAATACAATAGCCTTATACACAATTTCAATCCGCATAAACTCGATAAATCCGTCATCTTAATTAGTCTCACAATTATATTCATTGTAATATAAATGTACTTTATGCTAAAAGTGAACCACGAGGATTGTGGTCCATCAAGATTGATTTCGTCCCAGTGATTTTTGTTCCTCTAATCTTTCATCGATCGAATGAAACAAACAAATGATATAATGATACAATGATACATATTTTTTGCATATATTGTACTTCGCGATTAAACACGCTGTTATTATTACTATACAAGAGAAAGAGAGAGCGAGCTATTAATAACAAAACGAGAAATCTAATTAACACAAAAATTTTAAAAGCAAAAAAAAAGAAAACAAAAACCAACGTTTCTCTCATTTCGCACATCTTCGAAGAAGCAACAGAGAGACTTTATTTCATCGATCACACAATTTTTCAATTTTCGCCTACAGATGAAGTTAAGGTGATCCTAAACGTCCTTGAGTTTCAGCCCTATTTTATCGATAAAATATGAGGTTAGATTCAGCTATAAATTTATTTATTGGCTATACGGATTGTTTGTATTACCTGAAATTAGAACGCTTCCACACTTGTTAATATTAATACTTTAATTTCTACAAGAAAAAGATTTATCAATCTGTAAAAATTAAAGTATTAACCAGTTCACTGGTAATGACTCACATATGGACGAAAAAAGTGCCACATCTGGTAATGACTCATAAATGAGTACTTTGCCAATTTTGAACAAATTTGAATGAAACTTGGTACACCCATGTTTTTGGGATCGTAAACTCTAAAGTTAAACTTTCATATAAAATACGTAATTATTTGCTCTTACCAGTTTTGGCACAAAACGTTGATTTCGGATTCACCAGTGAACTGGTTAATATTAACAAATATAAAAGCGCTCTAATTTCAAATGAAAAACAATCCGTATAGCCAATAAATAGATTTATAGCTGAATATAGCCTCACATTTTGTCGATAAAACAGGACTGAAACTTAGGCTAGCTTAGGATCCCCTTAAGATTGCTCGTCATTCGAGGGCCACTGTCCGGAATGGTTCCAATCCCAATCCTTGCCTTTGGGACGAAACTTACTGGTGCTCGCGGAGTTGTTCCAGTCGCGGTGAAAGAACTTCTTCTTGAAGTGATGCCGCTCCGGGTCTGGCTGTCGTTGATACTTCAAGGGTACCGAGGAGGAGGACGACGACGCGCCGCTTGGAAGACTCCCGCTGGATGGATTCGCGGGACGCGGACTCGTCGGGGACGGAGTCCTCGGCGGTCCTAGCGCCTCGTCGGGCGACGGTGCTATGGGAGGCGGTCCGGTCACCGCGCTATCCGAGCCCAGTCCACTGTCAGGGCTCGTGTTCACCCCCTCCGTCGATCGCCTACGCTTGTCCAGCTCCGTGGAAGCGAACGCGACCAGGCGATCGAAGCCCGAGTTAATGCGATCCTGCCAATCGGCCTCTCCGTCTGCAAAATGAATCCCGATCAGTTGGATTGTAACACGTCAACAAGAAGCGTCGAATGACCTAGGTGTCATCAAATTTACATAAAAATAAGCCAATATCCTGATAGAAATTGTAATTGTTTTTTTATCATTATATAACTTTGTCCTTGACTCATGATAAATTTTGTTATACAAAATGTTATACAAAATTTTATTATACAAAAATATATCCTACAAGATAAACGTTACCTAAAGATCAAAAGTTTGTATCTATATATACATTACTTATTAGTAAGCAATATATACAACATGAATGTGCGTATACTATATAAAGATTTGTAGAATGTACCGAAAAAAAAAAAAAAAAAAAAAAAAAGAGAGAGAGAGAGAGAGAGAGAGAGAGATTGACCTTGAAAATGTCCTTGAATTAAAATTCAAGATTATCAATTTTCTTTCCCTCTCCAAATTTTTAAAAATGTTTCTTTCTGTGAAGTATAAATGCGCGAATACAGATATGCAATAAATGTATTAGTTGTACTAATTGCTTAACAAATTGAGATAGTTGTATATATTGAAAGTTGAACACGATACTAAAGCATAAGATAAATAGAAATATTTCAAAATCTTCGCATGCAATGTGAGGCTTTACATCTTTACATGCACTAAGAGTAACAGTCCATTAGATTAAAATATTCTTGTTCAAAACTGTAACTTTCAACATGCGTTTGTGTACACATGAATTTATCCGTGAAGTCCAAATTTGTATCTTCTGGCTTATTTTCATGGAAATTGATTTCTAAATTAGTCATTTGCCTTTTGTGTCTGTTCCAAATGGAAAGAATATAAATTCACTGACTCTCTCTCTCTTGTACGCACGTATAAGGCAAGGAGAGAAGCTAAATAAATATAAACTGTTACATGTACAGGGTGTCCCAATTCTACAATTGGAAATAAGAAAAAAATGTTATATGAAGTTTGACTAAAAATGCTTTATTACAAAGTTTCAATTCAAAAACCCTGCACTAATCCTATATAAAATTAGATCTTGATAAGTTTTCTTATATACATACCTGTATTGTAATTTACAACTCGCTGAACAAAAAATATAATAGGCTCATAAGTTACAACATATAAAAAACATTTAACCAAATCCAATTCACATAGAATTAGTACGGAATTTTTGCACTGCACAAGTTTTATTTTACATCAAATCAAGCTTGTAATTATCGATATTTTGAAATACGTTACTAAATTGTTTCATTGGATGAAAAATTGTTGCCTATTTCATATTCTACTTCAATATTTGTTCAGAACTTTGTAATAAAGCATTTTTAGCCAAACTTCATGTAATATTTTTTTCTTATTTCCACTTATAGTACATACTTTCGCAATTTGTCGGTAAAATCCTGGGACACCTTGTATACAGGATGTCTGAGACCACCCTATTTTGAAAACTGAGCGCAACAGATAAAAATGTTTTAAACAAAAGTTGTAGGGCTTTAACAAATACAGGAGATGGTGATACATATTTGACTTTGACAGCAGTTATAAAAGAGGTCTCAATGTCAACTATTTTAAAAAGCAGTTTCCATTTTAAATACGTGTCAAAGTCAATGGAGGCATTTTCAGAAAAAAATGTTTCAGACAAAAGTTGTTCCAATTAATTGGTAGAAGATATTATAAAAAATGGGTGTTTCCATTTCAGATTTTAAAGTTGACCTTGAGACGTTGATCTTTCATAATTGCTGTCAAGGTCAAATATGTATCACCATTTTATGTATTTATTAAAATCCTACAACTTTTGTCTATAACATTTTTATCTGTTGCGCTCAGTTTTCCAAATATTCGGCATTTACGGGTGGTCTCAGATACCCTATATATGTATAATTTATAGAGATATAATTAAAGGTTATTTCGAATAGAACAAAATGAACTTTGACCACCGTGGGACAACTCACCGGCGTATAACGTACCGACGAACCAACCCACAGGCAGCCGTATTTTTTTCATTTCTCCCTTCTCTGCGATCTGTGCGTGTGTCTCAATCTCTAATAAAACAAGCCTCAGGGATTTTGAGATTGAGTATGCGAGACAGAGAGAACTAACCGATAAACAGCTACAGTGCATCTAACAAATACAGCAAACAACAACAAAAATAAATATAAATAAAAGTCAAAAGTCACCAGCTCCATAAAAGATAAAAGCTAAACCATTAGTGCAAAATGTGTAAATACGTGAGAGATGCATAGGGAACAAAAATTAATATATCATAGTATCTAGAAAATATAGCACATAATAAAATTTTATATATTTCATCAATAAAGTGTCATATACCATTCTACGTTTCTTATGTATAGCTGATAAGAATAATAAGATAGTGAAAGAACAGTTGTACATCCTTGCAGCTAAGAAAACTGTAAGAAGAGACATATTCTCTCTAATCAGATCAAATTGACAATTACAATATTACAATATACAAAGTGTTCCATTTTAATTAATACAGTTGAATTGTCGATACTATACGAGAAAATATTTAATACAAAAATAAAATATGTAGCTGCTAGTAGCAAATTAATGTTTTCTTTACACCAATTGATTCCTCTCATTATTTTGTATATAAAAATATTTCAAGTAAGAACATTTTACGAAATGTTTCATATACGGAGAAAATTTTCTCTTAGAATTTACCCTGAAAATCATGATAATCGTGGGATAATATGATGTTAGAAGAATTTTATGAGTTTCTCTGATTAATATGTATTTACCACAATAAAAAATATTAATATGTACATAGTAAATTTTACTATGTATATTACATAGTAAACTATGTAATATATATGTATATTACATATAGTAAAATTTTACTATGTGTATTACATAGTATTATAAAATTAATCGAGTATATTTTATATCTTATTATGGTAGATATTAATATTTTTATTGTAGTAAATATTAATTAGAAAAACTTATAAAATTCTTCCAATATCATATTGTCGCACGATTACTATGATTTTCAGGGTAAATTTTAAGAGAAAATTCTCTCTGTGTAGCTTATGTAAAATTCTATCACATTAAAGTACAAAGTATCTCGTAAACTATTCACTTTTTTACTATCCTACTCTTGTAATTTTTTATGCTAAATATTATGAGGAATCGAGTTATATAAAAAAATTAGGTTAACCTTCAAACGAATTTGAAAGATGACCTTGAAAAATTTTTATCTTTTGAAATATTTTCTTGTTACAGCCATAATTTCAGTAATATTAATTACGACTATATTGATTAAAATGGATATATATTAAAGAATTATACGAGATTCATATAGCTCGCTTCACGTATTACAACAAATCTTCCATAGCTTATTGTACCCCGAAGCATCACTCAATTGGAGTACAGATTCATTCGCAAGCATATACTAGTCATCATATTATATAATCGAAAAGGGGACGTTTCCAAAGCGTTAGATCGTTCCCGCTTACCGTCATCCCCAACGACATTTCGTTGCCTCTGCGTCGTCATCTGGGGCTCATCGACCAGCGGCGTCGACGTGTTAGAATGCGGTTCCACGAGGGGACTCAGAGGCGCCCCGCTTGTGCTTACCGATGATACAACCGCCTCCGTTTTTATGGACATGGACGTTTGCGACTGGCAGATTGCCGTCACCGCCGTACTCGGACTCGTCGTGCTTGCGTTGCCGCTGTTGCTGCTCGTGGTATATCGCGGGTACGGCTGAAATCTACGAACGCGGCGAATATTGTCATATTATGCTCGATTGCAATCGTCCTCAGTTCAAGCTCCTGGCTTCTCGCCGATCATATTGGAATCGTGACGTCATAATCTAACACGGCCGCGGCGAGGATCCGAGAGCTTTAAAGTACGAGATCTCTCGTAAACTACAGTCGGACCTCTTATCCTATGACCCTTTTATGCTACGAAACCTTTTATCCTGCGACAAAAAAGCCTCTCATGCTTCTTCTTCTTCTTCCTTCCTTTCTGGCAATAAAACACAGTTTTATGTTCGTGGTTTTAGGCTGCCAGATTATCTTCTAAGTTAGTATTAAGCTTTATTTGTTTGTTTTGAGCTTATGTAAGTGTAATGTGTGTAAGAATGTCGGTGTAAATGTAAGTGTATCGGCCAAAATGGTCGTACAAAGAAAAAAATTTTTTAGACGAAACACGTCCGACACGTCAACGAACGCCAACGAACTTTTAAGCCTCTCATGCTACGACCGCGGAAAGAGAACCGTATCCCTACTTCTCAAATATACACGACAGTGCCGGCTCATTGGATTTCCGAACCTTGAGCAGAATTCAGGACCTCATACGCACTTCGCACGATTCGGAAATGTTCGGAACCCGAATCTTTCCGAATGGACTGCAGAGTAGGGATCCCTTTGTTGTAGGATCAGAGGTTTCTCAAACCGGAAATGTAGGATGAGGTCCGACTGTATTCACTTTTTGGTTATTCCACTTTTAACTTCTTATGCTAAATGTTATGAGAAATCGAGTTATATGAAAAAATTAGGTTGATCGTCAAATGACCTTGAAAGATGCGGCGAGAATCCGGGAACTTTAAAGTACGAGATCTCTTGTAAACTATTCATTTTTTAATTATCCCACCCTTAACTTTTATGCTAAATATTGCGAGGAATTGAGTTATATAAAAAAATCGGGTTGACCTTCAAATGACCTTGAAGGATAACGCTTAAGTTTAAATTCAAAATTATTAACTTTTGCCCCTTATTATTATTATTATTATTATTATTACCTTCTACTGCTAGAGAGGCTCGATTCAGCTTTGCCGGTGTTATTATGGTTGTTCAATATTCGAGCATGCAACGATGCCGCGAGCCCTTCTACGGGTAACAATTCCCCTCCGTTTGACGCGCTTTGGGACGATGAGTGTAGAGGTGGCGCCGAGTGGGACTGTGTGAGCGATTGAGTGGGATTATCCGAAAAGTAGGATTCGTGATAAGGCTTAATGTCTGCTCGCGGCAACTGGACCGGTGTATATCTGGATGGAGAAGAAGGTAGTGAAGATACATTTGCAAAGTAGTATACAGGGTGTAACAAAAAAACTCTCGATTATGTCGGAAACATGACGTTTTACAAAAAAATTGTATAGCTTTAAGAGAGACATAAGATAGGTCAAAGATTTGACCTTAAATAGTTGTTTGAAGATCACATGAAGATCAATCATAAAAGAATTAAGATAAGATTACCGAAAACTGAATATTTTACATTTATATATATATATATATACATATATATATGTCGAAAAACGGTCTTTTGAAAAGTAGTAGATTCCATTTAAGAAATTAAAGGTGACATTCATGTGACCTTCAAACGACTATCCAAGGTCAAATCTTTGCCACTACCTTATGTTTCTCTTGAAGCCATACAATTTTTGTCTAAATATATATATATATATATATATATATATATATATTTATTTTATATAAAACGTCACGTTTCCAAAATAATCGAGTGTCCCGACCTTTTTGTTACACCCTGTATACATCGCATAAAGTACTTGCGTGAAATTGAAGTGCAAGTACCTTTGCGGCTGCGTCACCGGAGTAAAAAGTACGGACGATCTTGAACTAGTTGTGGGCGTGGAAGTGGAGGGTCCCGAAGAGGTAGGCACGTAACTAGCTACATGTGCCAAGGTCGACAGGCCGGCGTCTCCTTCGGCGCTCGCCGGTCTGCTGATGGGCGAGTACACGGTTTCCGGTCTGATCGCGCTCATGTCAACGGTGGCGTTGATTATAGACTGATTGGATATCTCCAGAGTCCTCTCTATCTCCCCGTTCATGAGTTCGCCGACCGTGGAGACGAGTAGTCCATTTCCGCCGGTCACCAGCCGACTATCGTGGCTGGATGATTGTCTAGGATCGAGCGTCGTTCTGTCGGACGACGTCGAATGGGACGACGAGATGCGTTCCTGCGAGAGATGCCGGCGAAGTGCTAGTTTTGCAGGTGAAACCTGCAAAATCATCACCTGGTGATGAGAAACATCGCTGCGAATCTAAAAACAAAATGTATAATTGATCGATACACACTTACCTGAGTATAATCCGGAGTGGAGACACTTGGTGGTAACACAGAGCGTTTTCTATTCTCGGATTCGGATTGATTCTGCAGTTGCACCTGCAGCTGCATCTGCTGCTGCTTAGTCCTGTTCTGTTGATCCTCGTTCAACACGCTCGTGATAATGCTTTTCAGCCTGTCCTCGAAATTGGCTACCCTGGGTGGTTCTTGGGTCCTACTCGACGCGTCTTTGGCGGCCGCCTGCGACGACTGCGCAGAGGGATTGGCGGATGGTGCGCTGGAAAAACTCAGAGAGGCCTGCGGTAATCTGGTCCTAGAACTGTTGCTGCTGCCGCTGTTTGTACTCTGCCTGTGCGGGATACGACCCGCTTCTATCTGCCTTCCGGTTTCCAAGATCTTTTGCGCCAATATTTCTGGATTATTCTCCTGGATCTTTCCTATATCCGGCACGTCAGGCCATTCCTGCGATCTCGAGCGGCCCTCCCTGCTCTTTCGCGGTGTCCCGTTTTTGCTATCTCTCTGCTGTTGATGTAGATTTTGCGAGTGTTTGCTCCCTGCCATGTCTCTCTGTTGCTGAGCGATCGCGGCTACTTGCTTCTCGTTATTCGTCCTCTCCAGTACATTTAATTCGTGCTCTAATTTCGAAACCTAGTGTGTGTGGAAAAATAAATTTGGATTAATTCAGAAATCGATTAAAATGCTTAAATAACAAAATACACTCGAAAATGTAAAATAAATTATATGTATAGACAGGGTTGGGTAATAACTAGTTAATTAGTTAAAAGTTACAAAATTAAGTTAATAACTTTTAACTTGTTTTTTTTTATAAGTTACAAACGTATTATTAAGTTTTATGTTCATTTGTTATCAATTGTAATTATCAAAAATATATTTCTATATAAAAATGACAATTTTTTATTATAATTTTAAAAGAATTAACAAATAAAATTCTAATTTAATATAAATAATGTTTTTAAAAATTAACTTTTGATTTAATTTCAGTTAATTTAATCTTAACTACAATCGAATTAATTTTCTGTTCATGCAAAAATCAAAATTTCTTTATTTGTTATTATAAATTTTAAAAGAATTAACAAACAAAATTCTAATTCAATATAAATAAAGTTTTTTAAAAATTAACTTTTGATTTAACTTGAATTAATTTAATCTTAACTACAATCGAATTAATTTTTTGTTCATGCAAAAATCAAAATTTGTTATTATAAATTTTAAAAGAATTAACAAACAAATTCTAATTTAATATAAATCATGTTTTTAAAAATTAACTTTTGATTTAACTTCAGTTAATTTAATCTGAACTTCAACTGAGTAAATTTTTTATTCATGCAACTTTTAACTTAATTAAATTAATTTTATAAGCAACTAATTTTAACTTAACTTAAAAAAATTTATAACTAAAAAAAAAGTTTTAAAAAAATCAATAACTTACCCAACCCCCTGCATATAGATTACAACAAGTTGATTCACGATATTTTGCAAGATACGCACTTGTGTATGTAATCGTTTACGCTGGGAGAGAGTGGCGGAAATTTCTTTTAATATGCAATCACGAGTGAGCGACTGCGATGGATTCGTTATACCGTTCACGCTCTCGTTATATTTCTCCTGCAACTCCTGATGTCTGAGCGCCACCAGTTTGCTCTGTTCGTTTTCCATATTCGCCACCTGTGTCTGCAACTTGCTCGCCTTGGCCTGCAGCTGTTTGTGCCTCAGAACTATTTCCTTGGCCTTCGCCAGCAGATCCCCAGGTGACGTAGCATTGATACCTAACTCGGTCATTCGCGCCTTCAAAAGAGCCACGCTATCATCTATAAGAACTTTAATCTGCTTCTCCAGTTGCGCCGCCCTCGACTGAAGCCTAGAGTTTCTCTCTCTCTCCTTCGCGATATCCGTGTTCACGGATACCTTGTAGCTGGGTGTTCTCATTGATTCTAACATAAGCATGAATTGGTCCCTGCGACGAATATACGTGTTTTTGTTATAAAATTGACAAAAAAGAAGATATATATGTATATATATACATACGGTGTGGACAAATTAAAGCATTTATGAATTTTTATCTCCAAAAATATTGTTTTTAGAGATGTTTCAAATAAAAGTTGTAGAATTTCAAGGGGGAAAGAAATTGACGCTACTGACTTTTTCTTAAAGGGAGATTTTCAAGGTCATTGTTTTTTTATAATGGAATTTTTTTACATGAATCGATTCCTTGTAATATTCTGTATAAAAAGTCATAGAGGTAGAATAATCAAAAAAGAAAATAGTTTACGAGATATTTCATAGATTTTGTTAAACTTAAGTAAAATTTAGGTAAACTTAAGTAACTTAAGTATGAAATATCTCTAAACTATTCACTTTTTGACTATTTTACCCTTTTTATGTTAAATATTATGAGGAATCGAGTTATATAAAAAAATTAGGCTGACCTTTAAACGACCTTGAAAGATGACCTTAAGTTGAAATTCAAGATTATTAACTTTTCCCTCTTCAAGAAACTTTTATCTTTTGAAATATTTTCTTGTTTTTTATAAAATTTTAATTTGTAATATTATGCATTTTTTAATTTTTGTAAATTTTAATATATTTTTACCTCGAAAAATAAGAAAAATTTTGGTAATGATTTCACAAAAATCGATTCATAAATGTGGAAATAAATCGCGGTCAGACAGACAGAAGAAGGAAATTATAAATAGATAGCTTTTAAACTTGCGCGAAAAAAAACATTTTTTGACAAAGTTTCTCATACTGACAGAACGTTCTCTCTTTTTAACTGTGACAAGGATATTTCAAATAAAAGTTGTAGAATTTCAAGGGGGAAAGAAATTGACGCTACTGACTTTTTCTTAAAGGGAGATTTTCAAGGTCATTGTTTTTTTATAATGGAATTTTTTTACATGAATCGATTCCTTGTAATATTCTGTATAAAAAGTCATAGAGGTAGAATAATCAAAAAAGAAAATAGTTTACGAGATATTTCATAGATTTCATAGATGCTATTGAATTTGTTAACTCGATATGTTGAATTGATTGCAAAGTTAAAATCGTTTCATCAAGAATTTTCATACTTGAAAAGGACTACAACCATATGATCGAAACATTGTAATTAATAAACAATTTTGGCTAGTTTGTTCGATTAATTTAGAAACTGATCCTTTGAGTAATTGACTAATGATATTATATATTTTAATTATTAAAAAAAAGATTAGATATAGACCTTGAAGTCGAAAACTAGTACATATATATATATATATATATATATATATATATATATATAAAACAATTACCTATACAAGTCCAAAAGTATTTGCAGAGCGTAAGGAGTCGCGGACGGAGCGGATGGTATACTGAGTTCCTCGTGCACCGAGGTGGAATGCGACTGTAAAGAAAGCGATAATGAGGACAACTGTTGATCTACACAACCAGGAGCGGGCGGTGGTTTTTTCCCAAGAGCCTGAGGCGATGTACTGAGCAAGGTTTGACTGTGCAACAGGTCCAATCCGGATATATTGATCGTCTTCTTAGGCTTGGCTCTCTTGACGCCTCTTCCTCTCTGTCTACCTCTGGCTGGAGCCTTCGTGATGCCGTTCGTGGTTTTTCTATTGAATTTCCTCCGTATCTTATTTGGTTGTCGACGACTCTTGATGGAGTTCTCGTCCAGATCGGAGTCGCTGTTCGTTCCTTGCTGCTCCGAATGATTCGGACTGTCCAATTGCCTTGAAAGATCTCTCTTGGCTCTGTCGCCTCTTTCGTTCCTATTAGAAACCTTACTACTATTGCTGGCAGTGTTGCTTATCACAGAATCAGAGTTTTCATCTAAGCCACCTTGTTTATTGTTTTTCAAGCGGTGGAAATAACGTTCTAATTTAGTTCGATCGATTACGTGTAAATAATACGACACCGGCTTACCGGTCCAAGAGACGGAACCCTTCAACGGTGACATCTCTGAGACGTGCATTATCGTGCCGATATCTGTTGAGCAAATAAAAATTGCAAGAGAAAATTATGAAGGAAATATTAAGTATTAATAAAGACGAATTTTATACAGGGTATTTCATTTTATGTGACAATTTCAAATATCTGATATTTCAAATAAAAATTGTAGGGTTTAGAGGCAATTATCTGATGATGATCTTGAATTTGACCTTGGGGTCAAATTTGAAGGTCAGTATAAAAATTTTTAATTAAAATTCCTATGGCTTAAATTTTAATTTAAAATTTTTATATTGACCTTCAAATGGCCTTCAAATTTGACCCCAAGGTCAAGATCAAGGTCACCATCAGATAATCCCCTTTAAATACAATTTTTGTTTGAAATATTTTTCTTTGTTTAAAATGCTTCGTGTCAAATCAATATTTGACGTCGTCATTTAAAATGAGAGACCCTGTATACATATATAGAGAAAGAGTATATTACCACTCAAATTCCTATCCGTTATCCGAAAGTTCAACGGACAAAAGGACTTCGAGGACACTATACGTGCGCCATCGCGTAAATCGGCGAAGCGCTCTTTTAATTGATGATCAACCGTCGGTCCGAACGCAAAATTATTAACAAATACTATTGTGGCTCCGGTGATGCTTTCACGATGTTCATCGGCTAAAAAATCTCCCTTTATCAAACGATACTCCCGCATCGTTTTCCATACCAGTTCAACCACTTTCGAAAGTTTACTTCCATGCTCTGGAATAATAATTCATTTGTTATGATTCAATACGGTGTTGAAATGAATCGTGTGAATACCAGCGAATCCTGGGGGAGAATTTTTGGATCAAAACTCCTTTCCAAATAAAAAAAAATCAGTTATACTGATTTAACGTCATCTTTTGAAGATGTTTCAGGTGAAATAGATATGAAATTGATAAAAATATATCAAACTAAATAATTTTGTTCCAAAAACTCTCCCATTATGAACATCAGGATCCGCTGAGTTTTATAATGAATATATTCACATAAATATGATTAAGTTATAATTATCAACATAATTATATTTGTATCGTACCTGCGCATATGTTGACGGTACATCAGCCCTTTCTACACCAATGCAAATTTTGCATAAAGTTGCAGCTGCCATCTGAAGAACTACTTGACCGACTCCAGAACCTAAGTCAACAAATACATCATCCTCCGTCACATCGATTTGATCAATCATTTGGCATACAAGTTCGTAGCTAGTTTCGCCATAGACTTCTGGTGAGAAAGGTTCATATTGGTTCAACTTATCTGGTTCAACAACAGCCTGATTATAAGTTTGTTGAAGTATATGACGAAGTAAACCCCTGCTAGGTCTTTTATTTAATCTCTGAGATGGTAGACTGGTACCTTTTTCCTATAGATATCGATATATTTAATATATTTTCATACCAAATGTTATATAATACAGTATATATCAATTATATTTAACACATTTGCAGCTCTCCACTGATGTATAAAATTTATAGTTGGTTGCTGCTGATGCAGTCAATAGTAATTTTTTCATATTTTAAGTTAAAATTAATTAAAATGAGTTTTAGTTTGAAAATTAAACGAATTTTTTAATGATTTTCAGTGTAAAATATGAAAAAATTAAAATTATCACTTTTTCAGTGTTTCAAAAAGAAATATTAAATTTTAATTTTATGTTCAAATGTACAATTAATTTGATAAATTTAAAAATTTTAACATTTATCACATATGTAATTTGATATTTTTCTCTACTATGACATTAGACATTATCTCTATATTTATAACAGATAAATTTTCTCATAAGTAATTCAAACAATAAGTAATTATAAATATATTTTAAAATAAAAACTTTTAATTTTTGTTTTTATTTTAATAGACAAAATTGTGCAGCAATCAGTTATAGGTCAAAAGTAATCCTATCCAGTTTCCAGTTTTAGAAAAATGAAAAGATCATCAGCTGCAAATATATTAATATACTTTTGCACAATATTGTATGGTGAGAATGCACATACCAGTTGTACTAAACTATCAATCGCTCTGTTAAATCTGTCACATAAGCCCTTCATGCTTTCATAATTCCTCATATCATAGTTACACAGGATATTATTCTCCAAGGGTAACTTTAAATCCGGCAAATCATCGCAGACCCATCTCATAGTTTCGATAACATCCAATGCCCCATCGTGACGATCCTATAATACATACATAAAATATACAATAAAAGCATATATATATATATATAGTCAAAGTAACATGATAAGTCCTTAAAAAGGCCAAATGTAACAATAAACAAGAATTAAAACTTGGAGTAAGATTAAAGATTGTTCATAATAAACTCAATCTCGTCTCTTTCACCCTTGATCAGCTACATATCAATTCAAAGTAGCAACCTGATGTCATTAAACATCAGAATAATGCCATTAAATGTCAAAATAACATAAGTTTGCTGCTTGGGATATAATGCAATCAATAATACATTACGCAGCTTTTTCCTGTTGAATAATTTAGTTTGTTCTTTATTGCTGCACCAATGAACTATAGTACGTTAATTTTATTTAATCCTTGCCTTTTGGCTTAGGAAGACTTCTAGTTACAAATCGATGAAGTAGTAAGTTAGAGTGAAAAAAATATACTTAAATTAATTGCACCAATTCACCAGAGGCAGTAATAAAGAAACAAATCCTACTTACAGAACCCGAGGTGAGGGGCCACTGATAGACAATCGGTTCCGCTCCCGCTGGCGAGTGCAGACGCAACTCCATTTTTCAACACGTGGAGAGTTCTCTTCCGGGAGAAGGTAGACGCGCACGTACGCACGCACGCACGCACGTACGTACGTACGCACGCACGCACGCGGGGCGCGCTCCGGCCGTCTTCCTCTTGGGATCCTCGGAACCGCTCCCCCCCCCTTGAGGGTGACCTGGGTCGACGTCGGGTGAGGAAGTGAGCGAGCGAAGAGACGTCAACCGCGAAGATAAAGAGGCGACTGACGTTGAGGAGGCAGTGCTAAGTGAACGCAAGACGGTTCGATCGATCCCCCAAGGTCGTCGCACCAGGAGGCCGATCACCCTGTGGACGATAAACGTCGCAAACCTCCCCCCGCGACTACTTCTATGAACATGAAGACGAGGACATCCGTGGCTGCCCAACGAGGCTTCCACGAGGGTTATCCAGCTTCGCCTGGCGGGCGTACGATCATCAGGGTTCGGAGCGGAGGATGCTTGAATAGGGTCGACGAGGTACGAGGAACAGCGCCGGAAATCACCCCGGGGAAAACGAGCACGTTTTGGAACTCTACGCTTGAAAACACACGCTAAAAAACACGACGGGCTATTGTGGTGGCTGCACGGCGTAACACGTCCGCGGGGGGGAGAGGGGAAAGCGGGATGACGACATCAAAACATGGCGAACATGGCGTCATGCACCTCTTCCATCTGCCGTGCGTGTCTCGCGCGGCAGCACATCCGGTCGTCCGAGCGTTCTCCTCCTCCTCGTTCAGGGGGTCGATTGTGTATCTCAAAACCTAGTGAAAATGACAAGTGAGCATTCACTTGATTGGCTAATTTTCACTATAGTGAAAACACGAAATATTTCACGTGAGATTATTCGACAAGAATTATTGTGTCGACACAGATTAATAGACAGATCGCCAAAGGCCTGCCTAAAGAAGAGACCGCCATCTTCGTGCGATAGACTTTGCCCCTTACCGACACACTTTGCCCCTGGTTCGAGTCCGTGCTAAATTCGTAGACTTGAACCAAAAGACTTTGCCCCTGGTTCGAGTCCGTGCTAAATTTCGTAGACTCGACCAAAGACTTTGCCCCTGGTGCAAGTCCAGGCTAAATTCGTTTGACATTACCAACAGACTTTGCCCCTGGTGCGAATCCAGGCTAATTGATCATGAGACCAATTTGAGAGATTTGGCCCCCGTTGTGTGTGTGTGTGTGTGTGTGTGTGTGTGTGTGTGTGTGAGAGAGAGAGAGAGAGAATATTTTACATATATGCATATATATATAAAATTTATTAAATATAAAAAATATATTTTTTACACATAAAATGTTTTTTTATTGAAATAATCACGATTTTAAATGTGATATAACACAGTGTTCAAAATTTTTTAATTAAATTTTTAATTAAATTTATTAAAGAAAATTACTTGAAATTTTTTACATTAAGAATTTAAAGGCTCCTTATTCTCTTGTAGAAATTTATCACTACGCCAATTAATCACTTATTTTGAGTATTTAAAATACTATAATATACAGTAATTTAAGTATTCGAAATAAAAGTGATTAATTACTCGAAATAAGTGATAAATTGGCGTTACTAGTAATAAATTTCTATAAGGGTTGAAATAAAGTATAAGAGATAAATAGGCTATATGTGAGCCGTATGCGAAATGTGAGATGTAAGACGCATATTGAAATTTAATTTTTCGATATAACTTTCAAAAATGTACACGAGGTACAAAAAATTAGCTTGGACATTTGTAAGACTTAAAATTGGGATTAATTCTCAATTCTATTAATTAAATTTCGATATAACACACCTTACATCCGCGCACGGCTCACATATATAGCCCATTTATTAGTGCAATTTTTAAGTTCCTTATTTTTCAAAGTTCACCTTTTTACGTTATCAAATATTTTTTACGTTTTCAAGAATTTTATATTTTTACTTACCGCAGTTTCTTATCCAAATGTAAAATCTTTTATCGCAGTCTATAAAAATTGAAACATTTACAATTTTATGATATAATATTATTATTATTACAATTTCTATATATATGCACATCTGTCAAATATCGTGATTTATTTCACATTATTATTATCTATTTTAATAAAAAAAACAAAACACTTGCAACAATCAAAAATAAACCGCCTGCCGCGAACGGAAAATGCCAGAAAGCACGCAATTTCCGCGAATCTCGTAATTTTTTTGAAAAATCAACAATTTCAACGAAATTGTAAATTCTTCAAATCACTGCACAAGTATAATTCACAATAATAATTTTCAGTAACTACGATAAAAATCGTATACTGAAACCGCAAACGAAAGTGCAATGGGAGTAAGAGTAAAGTCTGTGATAAAATTAATTGGCAATAGAAAATTAATAATTTTCAATAGAAAATTTTGAAATTACCGAGGATTTACAAATAATAAAGTAAAAATATTAAATAATTTATGTTTTCGAATTTTGCTCGCGGAGAGGATCTTTAAAACAAGATTTTTAGAAGAGAGGACCTTTAAAATATAAACAGGCAAAAACGTGGAAAATTAAAGCGCGCGTTTTAAACAGATAAACGCAATGAATAAATACGCAATTGTTTTTACTTATCGCTGTAAGCTCACAAGCTTCTGACGTGCTATACACTTTTATATAATTATACAAGGTGTCCGGTACTAACGGACCAATGATTAGGGCGGATTCTCTGGCCAATTTGGAGACGATTTTTCCTTAGCAAAAATGTTGAGAAGTCAATAATTTTCGAGTTATAAGCGATTGAAAAAAATAGGTTTTTTGAAAACTAAACGTTTTTGAGTTAAAAGTCTAACATAATTACATTCTTCAGTTAATTTCAGGTAGAGTTTACTATAATAAAATTTTAATTTAAGCTTAGTTATAAAGATACATAATGACAAAGATTGGAAAGTTGTAAAAAATGATGAACTTTTTCGACATTTTCGCTGAGGAAAAATCGTTCCCCAATTGACCAAAGAATCCATTTGTAATCATTGGTCTGTTAGTTACCGGACACCCCTGTATATTGGACACGAGTTTCGTTTGTTTCAGATTCTCGAGAGTTGAGATGAACATACGAGTATCATATATCGTTTTGTGACTTGCCGAATGAAAGCAAGACAGAGAGCGAACGAGATTATGACTTAATAGCTCATAATGTTATAAATAAATAAATAAAAAATTATACCTGACCTACTAGTTATTGAATCTTTTTTATAAATGTTTCATTATTATTATCATCTAAGTCTAAGTCGTTTAATTACTTTTTAGTTTTTTTAATAATTAATTTATTTATTCTAGTCATTTTATTATGAGAAAAATAATATCACGTATACGTTTTTATAATGAATTAATATATTTCGGGAACGAATTATATATTCTTAATAATATAAAAGTGTTCAAAATTATATTTGACTTTTAATTTTTAATTATTTTATAGCAAGAGTTCCGAAATCTCTTACACACACATAATGGGGATTTTTTTTCATCCATATAATTCGCAATTAAGTATATATGTTAATTATTAATTTTAATAAAATAAAAATTAAAATTAAAGGTCAATATAATTTTTAAAACACAAATATATTAAATTATTATAAAACGTATACCCATGATAGTATTTTTCTCGTACAAAAATAATTAGAGTAAATTAAATAATCATAAAAGATTAAAAATTAATTAAAGAATTTAAACTTATATTTTATATATAATATAAAACATTTTAATTTACGGTCAAACCGTCGTGAAATAATTAAATAAAATTTGGCTA